AGGAAATAATGGACAATCCAATACCAAGCTGTTTTCTCAACATCTCATTCCCGTTATAACACATTTGTTTATCTCATTGCTTTGAAACGTGTTTTCTTGTGATATTGGGATACATTTCTGGAGATCTAGACAATGAAACAATAGGCTGGTCAATGTGTGAGCCGGATCATGACATGCCGGCGTTTGCTACTCTGGGGATGCCTGACTTATAAATTGTGATCCCGAGTAACTAACGAGAAAGCACTGACAAGGCGGTTAACAAACAGTGTGGATGCATATGCGCTTAAGGCTTCTGTATTTTTTCTATCATGTTATGAGGTTTAGACTGTGATAGCAGCGTCTTTAATGTCCTCACAGAGATATAAATACCAGAGCACATACAGTAAAGCATTTTGTGTTTTCCCAGTAAACACAATCAGTGTGGAGTGCAGGGACTGATGAGGCTGCAGCACAGGCTGATTCCCGTCTGACTCGGCCTGCAGGCAAACAGTAACCCAATCTGAGCGAGAGAGAGAGAGAGAGAGGGGGAGGGGAGGTGGAAAAGAGCGAGCAAAAGACAATAAGCTGGAAGCAGAGTGTTGATTTGAAAAAACAGAAAGATGAGCCTCTGAGCCCCCCTGAGGAAACAGACACCAGGCTTTGTCTCCTTCTATAAATATCATAACTCACTCCACTTCTCTTTTCTCTCTCTTCATTTATTCCCTCTTTTCCTCTCCTCCTCTGATTGTAAAGTTCCTCTCATATATCTTTCTTTATCTTATTTCCTTCACCCTCCTCGTCTGCCTTTTCTTTTCCTTTTTGTTAAAGCTATCGTATCTTCTCAGAGATACCTTATGTAGTAATAAACCGCTCCAAACCCAAAGTTAGCGCCGAACGTCGGCTGTGTCTGTTTAAAGGAAAGGGAAGGTTTAATCTTTTAAAATGAAATGTAAATGATGTGATTTTTTTTCCCCCGGTTTGCTAGGGTATTCTGCTTGATTATGGCAACAATTATAATCACGATTATTTTTGATTGATATTGAGATCACAATTTCTGAGTACTCAAGAAATAAATAAAGTGTATAATCAAAATAAATAAACTATGTTTTTTTTGAGGTAGTGGTGAAGAACTCTTGGGGCAGAAATTTAACAACAAACGCTTTAACATAACCAAATGGAACAAAACCTACGGACGAAACAGACTACATTAATCTTGATTCTCTTGTTTTCATGATTGTGGGAAGACAGAATGGTAATTGAAATGAATACTTGTTGAATTGTCCAGCTCTATAATGTGTCCATTTTAGGGTGACGAAATGATGATTAAAAAATAAAACGTTTTGCAGCAGCCCATTATAAAAATCATAAATTAGACTCTATAGTCTGTCTGATGTGGACGAGAAGATTCACAGACATCGTAAAGGCGAGACCACACATGTGCAGGTACATAGGCTGTGCTGCTCTGACCGGGGGCTGGCGGTAACACGCGTTGAGCTTACATGCAGGCAACCTGGGATCAAATCCAACCCTGCCCAATACATCTTTTTGTGGTTGGTGATGAACGAGATACGACTTGCAAATCTCTGCTAACATGTGCGTGAATGTGTGAGTGTAAGTTTTGATACTTGGTCGAAACATTGACATTTAATCAACATCTATAAATAGTTGGTGAAAAAAAAAAGACTTTTCAAGATCTTTAAAACTTTAAAGGTCTACAGAAAATAACCTGCGGGGAAGTCGTTCTATCGTAGAAGCTTGTTGTGCTACTGTATTTTTACTGGACACATTTTAGAATACTAATGCCTCCTACAGTATCAAACTTCACCAAGCCCTTCATTAGTTTTATGTCTGCTCTCTTCCTACTTGATGAAGCAAATTAAATACACACCACATTTTAATACACGCCACATTATCATCCATGTTGTTGTTGTTGTCATTCAGAACAGCTTCTCTGATCCTAAATCCATTGTTTAATCAGCATGCAAAATCTACTGTCATCTGATCTGCATGCACAAAATGTTTCCATATTGTTTTTTTTTTTGTTCCCTTTCCTTCAGTCAACCCACACACACACACACACACACACACACACACACTATGTATCTCTAACTATAGTCAGACTCAAGGCGACTGACATTACTGGCATCGCACGGATCATTCGCTGGTGCAGCTGCTTTTTCAGAGCTTGCTGCTCAATCCTCTGGCCTTGCGCTACCTCTCCCACCCCTCTCTCTCTCTCTCTCTCTTTCTCTCTCTCGCTCACTCACCCGGCACCCCACCTCCTCCTCCTCCTCCTCCTCCTCCTCCTCCTCTCACTGAGTTCTTCCAGAGGATGACTTCACGCTCTGGAAGAGGGAAGCAGCAGCAGTGCTGAAAACTACAGTGGCTACACTACGTTAGCATCTGAGATCTCCCAAGATTTCCAGCAAGCGTGGCTTACAACCAACCAGGAACCCCAGCTGTAGAGCACAGGGAGAGGGACGAGAGGGTAGGAGGAGAGGGGAGAGGCAGCAGGAAGGAATTTTTGGGGTTTGAGGGAGTGAGAAGGGGAAAGCACTGGAGAGGAGGAGGAGGAGGAGGAAGAAGAAGCAACAAGGAGAGGGAGGTTGAAAGTTTGATTGCTGCTGCGATGGAGTCATGCGCTGGCTTAGTGTGTGAAGCCGGTGAAGACACTCTGGATTTAAGAGGATGACAGTTCAAGAGACAGGAGAAGAAGAGGAAAGGAAAAAAAGGGCTCGGACTCGCAGAGGAGGGAGAGCTCACAGGAGGAACGCAGCTGAGCTCCAGACGTCCGCATTTTACCGTTATTGGAAACATGTTGCTGAGAGGCTGTGATGACTCGCTGCGCTGTTACTGCTGCTACCTTGCTGCGTGTGTATGTCTGTGTGCACAGTTGGCAAAAAAACAATGTCTCGTCTTCTGCTGGAGTGTGACAGCTCAGAACGAACAAACCTCCAAATCTCAAAACTGACCGAAAGCTCTGGACTGCTATGAGACTGAATCGAGTAGATCTTTTCCCAGATTTTTTTTCCACTCTGGGTTTGATTGAGGCTGTCTGTGGGCTCAGACGGGCTCAGTGAGTGTTTGCTTGAGACCGGGGTCACAGTGTCTGAAGACCGACTGTGCTAAAACAAATCCGTTCTTCGCTTCGTCTCTGCTTGCTGGGTTACACCAGTGAGTACAGTGTTCACCTTGCCTTGTATCTGCCGGTCTGTTTTTAAAAGTGTTGACAGGAGGATCACACAGGTTCACCTTTTCCTTCTGTGCCCGAGACTTTGATTTGAAAGCTGCATTCTCTTTACGATTGATCTGTAATGTAGTGCCAATAACAAGAAGCATGCAAGCATGTTATGGCATCAGCGCAAAATCAATGCTGTCTGTTTAGATGCCATTTTCCACAGTTTATTTTGGGGAATCCGACCAACGTCCCGTAATACATTTATTGGACAAATAGGAGACAAATCAGTCTTATCTCAGGGTTTCTTCAGTGGCAGAAAAAGTCTTCTGAGTCTCTGAGAAAGATTATCTAACTATGTTCCCTAAAATAAAGCATTCTGTTGATTTAATTTTAATAAGCAAGGGTCTTGAATTTTGTCCTCATGTTTCATAGACTCATATTTGTAAGACATTTTTTCGCTGGCTTTCAGGAAACAGTATACACTTGAAATAAAAGGTGGCTGCAGTGATTTTGTATGCAGGAGACTGTTATCCATTCTACCTGTGGTGAAAACTACCGCTGGTTACTGTAAGCGGTTAGGAAGCTCAGCAACATGTAACGAGAATCCTTTTTTTTTTTTTTTTTTTTTTAATGCTTAAATGATCTTTTTTTTAAATGGGATAATCCTATAAATGTCTCGTTGCATCTCGCATAAATCTGATGACTGGTGTTCTGTATTTATTTAATTGGTAGGACTTTGAATACTTTATAAAAATTACATTTAATTAGATATTTAAAAAATATTCAAAAGGAAGAATTTATTTTAAGAATGCAGAAATCTCTGTTTTTTTTTAACAATCTGTGCACACATGATATGAAACTTAAAGAAAAGACTTAAAGCTTGGTGTAAATAAATCAATAATCTGTGACACACTGAAGATAACTTTACCGTCACTTTGTTGTGATTTAACACCACGTAGCCGCCTGTAGCTTCCTCAGGTTCACCCAGCATGCTTTGTTTTTCTGCTAACAAGCGGCTCTTTAGACCGTAAGTTGGCTGTGCACGGGGTATCCTGTTGGTCATTTATATTAAGAAAGTACGCATGTATTAATTTACCCTCCTGTAATATTCAAATAAAACAATAAGTTTAACACTTACATTTAACTAATATCACAAATAATACTCCAAACTCCGAAGATAATTCTGACGTCCCTAAAAAGTGAAAACATAAAGAGAGAGTGAAATAAATCAAATCAAAGCTGAGAGATTTGAACAGAACATTCTTGTGAGAATGCACCTACATTTATATTTCTAACAAACAGAGGAGCCAAGGAGACGGCTTCGCTCAAGCATTGATTTTCCTTTCTCTGTCTCCCCCTAACAGCTTCCTCTTTTATTTTTGTTGTTACTCTTGGACTTGTTTCTTTCAAATTCATTTAATGCTTAATGTGAGGCATCTTATATTTCAAAAGGCACCTTTGAGAGCTACCTTCCTGTTGTGTGAGTAGTCTTAAAAAACAGGGAGACTTCAAGACACTTACTCAGATCAAACTAGATGCTCAACATAGATTTCCCGTCTTTATTACAAAAAGGGAATAATCAAAAGGGAAACATGGGAGGCATCTCTTCTCTTAATGCAGGTGAACATTAAAAACAAAACTGAAAGGAGCTTTGCTTTTTTCAGTAAATAGTTAAAAGTGTGTTTATCCACATCACATGTATTCTTCTGTCCTTTTCTAGTACATGCTAAGTAACTGTTTGTTCACTGAGGCTGGTTATTCCTTCTACTCGATGAGACTACTTTTTCTTTTTTTTTTCACCTCTTGAAAAAAGAAGACTGACCTTCCTTCTCTCGTCTTTCAGGTGCACAGGAAGATTCGGGAGGACTCGGACATGGCACAGGACTCCCTGCAGTGCCTGGCCCAGCTGGCCTCCATGCATGGGCCCGTCTTCCCCGACGAGAGCGCCCAGGTCTCGTACCTCGCCCACCTGGTGGAGGGCCTGCTCAGCATGATTAACGGGTGAGTCCTTCACTTGTGCTGGAAAACTGGACAAATGCTCCACCTGTGGCTTATAAATAATCTCAGTTCCTTGCTCAGTACTTTGTTGTGTCTTATGAATAGTAACATTTGACCGTCTACATCCATGGTCTAGACTGAATTATCTCCTCAACTGTCCTAATAGTTTTCAGATAGTCGTAGCTTCCAGAGGATGAACGCTAATAACTTGACATTTGTTCGGACGCATAGGTTCCTCTTTTGACATCAGCTACTCGTGTTGTTCAGTGCTTTGTTTAGCTAATTGTCTGACATCCTTGCACGCTAAATGGTGATCATTATTCCTGCTTGATGTTAGCATAATGGCGTTTCATTGTGAGCTCCTTAGAACGATGACGCTATTATGATAGAGCTCAAACCTGAATGTGTGTGAGTCTGCTGCGAGCCCGACTGTAGACTCCTGAGAGTCTACCATGAGATCTTCAGCTGTTGCATCCCTGTTTGTTTTTAATAAATTACTCTTTGTTGCATTGACCCTTTGGGGGGGGGGGGGGAAGCAAAAAGTGTGGCACAGAAGGATTTGTATAAAATAAAAAGAGATTAGATGAAAATGACATTTAATCTATGTGACAGTGCAGATGTGCATTCTGGATAAAGTGTGGATTATGTTTGTACCTTTAATGAAAATCTAATGCTTTTATTAAATTCTCAGCTGATCATTCCAACTTAAGATAGAGCGGCGCTCAGAAAGCAGGATGAGTAAACACGGTTACCTTCACATTACCTCGGCTACAGTCTCCGTACTTTATCTCCTTCCAGTCAAGGATTTCATGTTTGTTGAATTCAGAGACTCAACAAGTGCTGGAGGCCAACGTCAGCAGGAGTGTGTGACTCATACTGTGACATCTGCTTTTTGTAATTACTCCTTCAGTCTGTGTTTTTATGACCTCTGTTTTTAGCATCTACCTACTCTATGGCGTCGGTTCAAAACCTGAGGGGGAGGCTTGGCTTTGAGGGTCATGAAGCAGTGATGCAATGGGATGAGTCAAACTGGCAGAGAAATCTGGTTCGAGAGCTGTAAAAAAAAAAATGTTTTATTTTAATTCAATATTTGGCATCTTTTGATTTTATAATTGTATCTCACGAGACGAGCAAGATTTGTTGTATCCATATTTTATCTCCCCCCAATTGTAAATTATTGATCCCCTACTGCGTCCCTCTGTTGGATGAAAATATTTGTCGTATACAAGTAAGAAAATACAACAAGAAGAATCCATTCATTTGAGAGCAAAAAAACTCACAATAATCAACACAAATAAAGTAAATGTTTGACAAAGTCTCTTCTGAGATTTTAGATAGATTCATAACTTTTTTTGGGCTAATCAGTCACTGCCTGCTAAGTGTTAAGGCCAGCTCTTTCACTCAGCAGAATACCAAATGGAGCAGCAAGAAATTCAGCCAGTCTCACAGATGACTGGAGTAGATCCTGAAGTATGTACTAATTCAAAAATAGACTTTAAATCATGAATCCAGAATCGTTTTGAATCGAAAATAGATTCTGAATTGAATCCTGACCCCAAGAATCGAAATGGAATCGTGAGACACCCAAAGTTTCCCAGCCCTAATATCGAGTCCTTCCCCTTTCCCACTTCTGCGTCCTGCATTGATGTCATTTTGGATTTACGACTCAGGAGTCTGTAAACATGCATGGCTTCAAATCCGACATAACTGTCTCAGTCCGCCTAAAATAATCCAACACACAAGCTCCAATCAACAAATCCAGAACATGACACCAAAGTTATCCTCAGAAATGTTAAATAATTTAAGTTTAAGATGAATTAAGACCACATGAAGATCCTGTACATTAACCAGCGTATAACTCGTGGTGATTCACGACTGAGGCGGTTTAACCGGCTTTAGATTTGAGTCATTGTGGGCAGGTGTGTGGCGTCGGAGAACCTGAGCCACCGGACCTTCCTCCGTTCAGCAGTGATTCTCGCTCCAGCGCGGCCCGCTTGTTCGAACAGGTCATGTGAAGAAATAGATTTTGTGCTGAGTAACAGTACGAGTTGTGTAAGCCCGTGGCGTTCCACACAGACAGGCGGCTGTTTGGAGCCTATTGATTGTTCCTGTGTGTGGTGTCCGTATTGAGTGTGTTTGGGGGGTCTTCGGGGGTGGGGATGCATTTAAAGAGGTTTGGGTTCTGTTTTTAGCCACTGGGTATCAGGTACAGCTACCTAAAGGTTTAAAGAGAAGCCGTATCTTTTTACGAGGGGAGTTACTGTTTTAATACCAGTTTAAAACCAGAACACTGTGAATGTGAAAACCTCAAACAGAGCCAAACATCCGTAAGTCAGACTGGATTCATGTTTTTTTATGAGCTAAGAAGAACATAAAAAAATCCAATAATTATAGACTCTCACTGACCTTGAGGCCGTCATTCAGTCCTTTATTTCAACCTGTTTCTGCTGCTTCCATTATTTCTGCACTTTTTAAAAAAGGACTTCAGAGTGCAGGGGGGGGGGAAGCTCCGTCATCTCATTGGCTTACATGTTTCTCTTTAAGTACCATGCATGGTTTTATTATTTAGTCATGAAGCCTTTAATGGATTTGACCTAATGTGTTTCTAAATGATCCTTTTAAAAACGCTGCCTTACATTTTCAGCTACTTGTTGAGATGTGTTTGATTCATTCAGTGAACTGTGATTGGCTGAAATTTGATCTCAATGGCGAGCAATATAAAAAAATTAAAAAATAAATAAAAAAAAAGACAACATCATAGACACAAGTCAAACTAACAGAAAAAACTAGGACTGGGAATCACCAGAGGCTTTTAAGAGAGATTTTAAATATTTTCAGATATGCTGAGAATTGCGATACAATTTTATTGCAATTTAAGTTTTAAACTGCATATTATGTCCACAAAATTAAACTATATCAAGAACTGTTATGTCAAATAAGAAAACATTCTCAGTCTTTTCATCTCACTTCAGTCTTTTTATTTCTACACAATGTGAGTCGAGCCCACAGACTGATCAAGGTCAAACATGGTGAAAGGCTGCGTGCACCTCAAACAATAATCTATAAAACTTATAAAATACTAAACCATTCACTTTGTAACGGTTCTGTTTGAAATATGAGAAGCTTTTCACAATAAAATAAACTCTTTATTTCTTTGAAAAGTGTTGTGAAACATCAGCAGCAATACAGGTTCAACATAAATTAAATAGTTCAAACTGACACAACTTTAAATTAAATGAGAGCACGTCGTATTCTCTTCCAGCTGTGTGACGTCAAAGTTTTTACTACTTGGTGCTACAAACACATTTGAATCATAAATTAAAGTTTGATACCCAGAATTTGTTTTAATGTTTTGGATAAACCAATGAGTTAGAAAAGGTTTTAAACAGAAATCGTTGTGTTCATGGAAACGGTGTGTGTGATGAGCTGAAAGCATTAAGTACAGCTGAAGTGTTTTATGTTCATTTGTAGGCAAAGTGGTTCTGATGTGAAGTAGGGGGGCGCGCTCACATGTTTGAATAACTGAGACGTATTTTAATGTGCACATGAGCATGTTGTTGGAGCACATGATCCAGTGAGCAGGGGTCTCTCCTCTCTCTCTCTCTCTGCCCTGCTCTCCCGCTCCGTCTGTAATCACCTATTCTTGGAGCTTTTTTCCAATTGCCTCATCGGAAAACCATGCGGCGAGGGATGGCAGATCTGCTGTGATTGAACAGTTCTGCTCGCAATTTAACTCCATCTGATAGAGGTTAGCTCGGCCTCTCACACACAACGCTTCTCTCTCTCACTGCGGAGAGGTGCATCAATTCAAATAAAGCTTCAGTATTAAGACTTCTTCCGATTTATGAGCAGCACAGGCCGCACAGAGAAGACTAACATACTCAGGAAACTTCAGTGCTGGGGCGGGGATGGTTTGTTTAGAGGGGTTAAAGAGGATTTCCCCCCTGAGCGTCTTTATGTGCTTTCATCTCTGCAGACGTGGAAAACCCTAAACATGAATATTTGAGGTGTGTGTTTGGTACAGGACTCTGTGGGTTAGCTCCCGGCTAATAGAGCTGCATGTTCTCATGATTCATAAGTAGAGCCTGCGACAGTAAAGCAGTATTAAGTTATCAATATATTATACATACGATATGTCAGCAAATGTAGGATTTAGGAACAGCCCTGTTTGTCCTCATTCAAGTGCTTTAATGTTTTATATGAAATGAAGATAGCGTTGTCTTTGCCTTGAGTTTGTCTCGTTTATTTTTATCTTCCCATATTTATCTTAGCGGTAAATATTGAGTTTTTACTGGGTTTAGTTTTGCTTCTGGTCTCTTAAGAGTGACCGTGGTTTTGGAGCGCTGGTGGTGCAGTGGTTAGTGTGCGTGCCCCATGTATGGAGACTATCGTCCTCCAAGTGGGTGGCCCAGGTTCAAATCCAACCTGTGGCTCCTTTCCCGCATGTCAATCCCCACTCTCCATCTCCCTGATTTCCAACTCTATCCACTGTGCTGTCTCTCCAATAAAGGCAGAAAATGCCCCCCCCCCCCCCCCCCCAAAAAAAAAGGAGTGACCGTGGTTTTGTTATGTTTACAACAGTCAGTATGGTGTCTGGATCTGGTGGTTCTGCTCTGCAGCTGAAACGCACACAAGATCCGTGTTTGTTTTGTCGTTTGCACCCTCAAAAAAATCAGAGCAAACTGGTTTTATTTTGGTGCATTTGGAAACTGTGTGTCCAGAGAGATAACTAATATGGTTAAATGTTCAGCTTTAAAATGCCCTGCTCAGTATTCTGAATACTATCTAATGTTGTGTTTCTACATGGTTTTTAGACAACATTCTGATGATTGTTTTTGTGGTTGTTTCTATTTTCTACAAAACAAAGGAAAAAATACAATTTTACAAATTATGACCTTGATAGCTCCCTTATAGGAGGATGTATGTTGTGATGTGTTTGCTTTGCTGCTCGTGTAACTTTCATTTGAAATGATTGCTTGTAAAGTGTGTTTTGAAAGGAGAAGCTCGACACGTTTTTGGACAAATCTCCAGCTCCATGTCTTTGTTTGGGCGTTGTTTTGTTCCGCATGTTATTGTTGATTTGGAACATGAGCTTTCTCACACATTAAATTTAATTGTCTTATTTTTTTGCTCCATCTGCCCGCTCACAAGTTTTTTTTTTTTTATGAGGTTTAACAGTTTTGTCATTCTGTGACGACTCTTTTCTGCGAATTTCAGTTAATGCAGTTCGTTTCACATTAAATGTTATTCTTAAGAACAAGATTTCAAGTACAAGTGGATTGAAGAAGGGCTTTTCTCAAAGTGAATCTGGCAGCTCTTGTTAAATCTTTTTAATGTTTCAAGAAACAAAATGTGTTGCATGTGAAAACTTGGAAAAAAAATTAAACCACTTGGAGCAAGACAAAATGGTAAATGGACTTGAGCTTTTATAGTACTTTTCTAGTCTTCTGAATACTCAATAGTTTTACACATTCACACAGTGATGGCAGAGGCTGCTATTTAAAGAGTCCATCAGTGTTAACTAATCCCATTCATACACATTCACACGCGGCTGACGAAGCAGCGGGAGCAACTCTGGTTTAAGTGTCTTGCCCAAGGACACATCGGACATGTGGCTGCAGGAGCTGGGGATCGAACCCCTTACCTTCCGGTTGAGAGACGCCCGACTGTAGCACTGAGCCACATCCACAATCAATATGAATGACGAAAGTCCATTAGTGGATTTTTTTTAAACAATCATGGACTCCTAGAATTAGTTCTGGTTTTGGTTTCGCTCTTGGTTTCAGTCTGTGACCTTAAACGCTGCACAGTTAATCACACATCCATCCGTCTGCTTGAGCAGGACTTCGTGTTGATATAAGTTATGGACGTTTTTGAAAGAGACAGACATAATTAAAGCTATTTCAGGAGCGTCCTTCACACACAGTGTTCTCGCGCTGTGCACGGACTCTGGGTGTCTGGAGGTGATGATAAGATGGACTGAGTGGTTTTTAAGACTCTCCTGATAGTGGCTGAGTGAGATACTGTTTGACGTCAACATGATGAGCAAAAGCTGTGAGAATGTTATATTTAGCTTCAGTAATATGACTGTGTATGTTTAATTTCTGTGCTGTGTTAACTCGTACATCCAAAAAAAGGACAACAGAGACTCTTCCTCTTTCAACCGTCGAAGTAAAGACGGACTTGACGTTCAGAATAGGGCTGTCTGCATGAACTTGTTAATCATGATTAATTAAGCTCTGAAAACAATGGGGCATTTATTTTTGTTGTGGCATCACACATGTAGCGATGTCGTTTGATTTTCACTAGTATCGTATCAGGACCAACATAAATCTTGGTGCAGTCTCACAGAGTCTCTAACGTGGCTGCAGAGTAGTTCTGTGTGTGAGTCTGTTCCTGAAACTTTGCTGCATTATATATGAGTGTGATCCTTCTCTTTACATGTGCTGTGCATGCACTGTGCTTATATTTGTCCAGATGCTCTAGTATTTAAATTAAAACTGACTTCATATGTTTTTTTAAAATACAACAACATGTGTGAATTATGTTGAGCATGTCCAGGCCTGTCACGCCCGTCTTCATGGTATAATCTGATCATGAAATGTTCTCTTAAAAAGAGTAATTACAGTCTTCACAGTCGACAGTTAACTCTGTTTTTTTTACTGTGAGTACAGAACCGAGAGGCACATATATACCATAAACATCTCAGATGCAGCAGTGGAAAAGTGCTCAGCGGTCAAGTTTCCCACCAGTTTTGGTTAAGGATCAATTTTCATGCCTTTTTCCAAACCTCAGTCGTCTGTGAGTTAGATTGAAATTGACCCCGGTTTAGCCCCGGCATCACCCTGCAGAGTTGAAACCGTCCCTCCGCAGGCCAAAACACGGGTTTGAATCCTCGATCGAAGAGAAGCTGTATGGACTCCCTTCAGTTACATTTTTAAATTGATTTTCATCAGTCGATGTAACGCTGGCAGCAGATGTATCATAAAATGTAGAAATACATACTTCTGTACACGCTGTACTTGATTTTATGTTTCTCACTTCTGAGTCTCATGACATAATTAAACATTTAATTGACTCACACTTTTAATATCTGTGTTTCCAGGATTGAGATCGAGGACTCTGAGGCGGTGGGCATCTCCAACATCATCTCCAATCTGATCACCATGTTCCCTCGAAGTGTCTTAACCGCGCTGCCCAGCGAACTCTTCACCTCCTTCATTAACTGCCTCACATTGCTCACCTGCTCGTTCGGACGCAGCGCCGCCCTAGAGGAAGTGGTGAGTAGTTACACCGTCGTGTGCCTTACAAAATTTCCATCATTCTCAGTGAATTTTAAGGTTCATTTTTGGGCTTTTTGGGCCTTTGTTTTAGAGATAGGACAGCGGATTGAGTCAGAAATGTAGGGAGAGAGTGGGAAATTACATGTATTTCTGAACAAGATTCATCATTTTTATAAAGGTTTTTTTTAAAACATTTGGTACCACTGCTGCTAGGTAGGTATCAGAGAGAATCACCCTTTAAAATGTGTGTACATTTTCTGCAGTTAAGAGTCACAGTGAGCGAGACAATCAATTTAAAAGCAGATTTCTCACGTGAGCTTTAAACAAGGTTTCCTCTTTTCATTTCTCCTTCTGTCCTTGCACAGCTGGATAAGGACGATATGGTTTACATGGAGGCCTACGACAAGCTGCTTGAGTCGTGGTTAACGCTGGTCCAAGACGATGAGCATTTTCCTCGCGGCTGCTTTGTCCAGCCGGCGATTCAAGTCTTCAACTCGTATATCCAGTGTCACCTGGCAGCTCCTGACGGCACCCGGAACCTGGTGAGACCCTGTGTGACTCGTCTTTAACGAGAAACAAAGTGTGTTTTAATGACATGAGACAAATCTAAAACAGTTAAATAAGGTTTTGGAAAAGAGTCTGCTCCTACTACAAGGTATTCATACATTGTGTATACATTATGCTGAATGAAGCACCTATCCTCTTCCTCCTGAAGAAGGTTTTTCTTTCTAAAAACATAAACCTTGATCAATTTCTAACCCCTCAGTCAGTAAACGGCATATCGTCTCATGAGGAGGAGGAGATAAACGAGCTGCAGGAAGACGACAGAGAGTTGTTCTCTGACCAGCTGTCAAGCATCGGCATGTTGGGCCGTGTGGCTGCTGACCACTGTATCCCTCTGCTCACCAGGTAAAACACGTCAGAACTTCTTATCATCTTCTGCTGAAACATGTTTAGAAGAATTTGTTTAATTCTTGTTTATATTCAGAACCAGGTCAGCCAGTATCTGTCTGTTTCACATGCTGACATGGTTCTTGTGTCATCATTCTGCAGCCTGTTAGAAGATCGAGTCACTCGACTGCATGGTCAACTCCAGAGGACCCAGCAGCACCTCATGGCGATGTCTGACCCCGGATCAATGGACCGCAAAGTCCTGGACGACCTCTATGAGGACATCCATTGGCTCATTCTGGTCTCAGGTCAGCAGATGGACGTAAAACTTTCTTAGTTTGAAACTTTCTGCAAAGACTTTAGAAATCGGTCTCATGTAGGAAGCAATATACCAACACATTTTTTCTCTCTCTGCTTTTGAATTAACAATTTGTTTTTATTCAGTAGTCATTGATTTCAGAGCTTTCAAAGTGTATTCCTGTTTTGCTTTTCTTTGCTAAAATAACATCCTCAAGGACATGTTTTTTTTTGATGTTCTCAAACACCAAAATACAATGGGTTTTATAGTGTTCACTAATGACATTTCCAGCGCACTTAATTCCACTTTATTGGCTATAATTTTAAATCAGACAAAAGAGCAGAACTCCACCCAGTCCTGTGGCTGCTTGTTAATGAAATATTGTCTGACTCAGCATCTTTAAAGGCCATTCAAGCATTATTGTACATTCCCCACTAGTCACTCTAAATTTAGGATGGGTTGCCTGAAGGAAACGCCTTTCCAGATGACATCTGTATTTTTTCATAGTTTCTTTAATTTATTGTTCATTGTTTCGGATGTCTGGTGGAGTACACCAAAGACTTAAACTGGGACATATGTGGTTCTGAAAACAGACTTAACACCAAACCTCTAAGAAGTGTTCAAGGTTATTGAGTTCATGTTTAAAGGGGCTGATAATGCTGACAAATTAGAATACAAAGCTGGATCCTGGAGCTAAAGAGTCTTTTTATTTTCAGTATCATTCAGTCCTTGGTTTAGTTTTTGGTGCATGAGTTGTCTGAAAACCTCAGAGCTTTAATTTACATCTTTGGACTACTTAATTGTACTATACTAGTATTGTATACTATACAATACTCAAATGTTGTTTTTATCCGTCTGTGCATTTCTTCAGGGTATTTACTGGCAGACGACCCTCAGGGAGAGACGCCGCTGATCCCCTCGGAGGTGATGGAGTTTTCTATCAAACACTCGACAGAGGTGGACATCAACACGACGCTGCAGATCCTCGGGTCGCCAGGGGAGAAAGCGTCGTCCATACCAGGCTGCAACCGCACAGATTCAGTCATCAGGTACGGTTGTGCGTCAGAAGTTATGATGTACTTTGATCATTTACTGTGGAAATCAAAGAGGTTAAATTCTGCTGAGAGAGTAGTAATGTTGCTCTAACAAACACATGTGCTTTTTTATTTCGCTGAACTGTTTGGTACTGCACTTCGTGTGACTGAAGGAGCGGGGGTGTGCTGTCTGCTGGCTTGTTGTCTTGTAAGAGATGACACTTCATTGTGTCCAGCGATACATTTCATTACAGTTTGTCTCACTTTACGTGTGACATGCCACAGCTAATAAAACCCCCCAGAATAGACTTCCTCGATGTCCCAGCTTAGTTGAACCTCTAAGTTTTGTGATAGGTATTACCCTGCAAAGCTTTAGTCATCCTCACACTCAAACACCATCTGAAAGTCTGTTAAACAAACACCAAGGAGCTCCTGTTCATGCTCCTTCTCAGTCCTGCAAAGAAAATGTAGAAAACACTTCGCTGAGTTAGGATACATTTTATTTTTTTCAAATAACAGGGATATAATTAGCATGTCAAACCATCTCTCCAGTGTACACCATGATGAGAAGTGAAAGGGATGTGGCTTTGACCTGTGACCTCTGCAGCAGAAAAAAGTTTCCTTCAGTACCTGAGCTCAAAATGACAGGAACATATCTTCAGAGCGGTCATTTTTTTCTGAATTTAAAAACAGAAGCAGAAATGTTTGTGTCCTTATTTCAAACACAACCTCTCTTGTCCCTGTTTTACATGACCAGCTCTCTCTTCCAGTGTGTGGGATATTAAATCATTACCATGCACAATCAGGTTGCTCCCAGTTTGCTCGTTGATCATCATTTCTAAACAAAACGTCTCTATAATAAAGACGATATAACAGCAGATAATAAAATAGACTCAGGGATTCAAAGCGTCTCTGGCTGCTGTTATCAGTTGGGCTTTAGTTTTCAACAACAATTAAATGTGCAGTCCGACAGTAATGTGACTTGTGGTGTTTGAACCTCGTGTGGTTCAGGGGCAGCTGGCGGTCACACTGGATGCTCATCTATTAGAAGGCAATCAAGTATGTGAACTGGTGTGTTTGTGTGTGTGTGTCTGTGCAGATAATAACAATGACGACAATAGATAGTCACAGCAGCCAGCCAGATTGTTTGCTGAAGGTCGTTTAGCCCTTGTTCTTTCTAGATTGTTCATTAAGTAGGGGTGTGTGTGTGTGCGTGTGTGTGCGTGCGTGCGTGCGTGCGTGCGTGCGTGCGTGTGAAACAGCAATGACAGTGGATTGCAGAGATGAGTGGCCGCTGGCATCATGTTTCCTAACAGCCAGCGGACGACCCCGGTCCTATAAATGTCAACATGGTTTTGTTTTCTGCAAACAATGTGAAACTGTGCACTGTCCTCCATGGAAGCGGGGCGGAGCCATAATCTGCTTTAAGCCCTCTGTCTCTCTGTCCTTTATGAACTGTGTGTGTGTGTGTGTGTGTGTGTGTGTGTGTGTGTGTGTGTGTATCTGTGTGTTTATTTCTTTCTCATCCATTCAAACTTAAAATCCATCTTCTCTCTTTTATTCTTTTGTCTCAGGTTGCTGTCAGCGGTGTTGCGGACGTCAGAGGTCGAGTCCCGAGCGACAAGAGCGAGCCTGACGGAGCTGCTGAGCCCGCAGATGGGGAAGGACATCATGTGGTTCCTCCGGCGCTGGGCGAAGACGTACCTGTTGATGGACGAGAAGCTCTACGAACAGGTACCAGACTCTCTTCTCGTGTTCCCTCCTCAGCTGAGCACATGTTCCTCCTTCAGCGGTCTCACCCTTCCTCCTGTCTCTCCGCAGATTAGCATCCCGTTCAGCACGGCGTTCAGCGCAGACACTGAGGGGGCCCAGTGGATTGTGGGATATCTTCTGGAGAAGGTGATCAACAACCTGTCCGTGTGGAGCTCGGAGGCTGAGCTGGCGAACGACACGGTGGAGCTGCTGGTGACGCTGGTGGAGAGGAGGGAGAGGTGAGGACAGCAGTGCATCAATCCACTGAGACAATAAGAATAGTCAACCATTGTGATAATCAGCTGTTTTTGTATCCAGCTTTAAGGAGTTCCAGCAGCTCAAATGTTTTTATTTTCTCTTTTTATATTGTATGTAAGTTAGAGAATGAGGTAACTGATGGGCTGTTTTCACATTTATCCAACATTTTATAGACTTTATATTAAAGCATGAGTATGAAAGTAGTACTTGCCAGCTTGCCAAAAACTTTATTTACAGTTCAGACCTTTATCGTTCCTGGAATTTGATTTACAGCAGTGGACAAAAACACAAGAAATAAAAAGACAGGACATTGCAACAAAACCTGATGAAATACAACAAAGAAAAAGAATAATGGTTAAAATTCCACTGGAATGGTAGCAATATAAAATAAGTGCTCTAGTTCTGCTTGAAAGTGCAGTCAAGGTTTAAAGAAAATGTATGTATAAATATAGGGAAGGACAGGTGCATTAACAATGTTTGCATATCAGATTTAACAATACCTTCATTAGAAAACAGAAAGCAGCAATGTGAACACAGGCCACCGCCTACAACACATTTAACATTAAACCCGATTAAACGTGTAATAGCACTGATTTGAAAATAAGAGTGCGCGTGAGCAGCATTGGACGGGGAAAACCAGGCCAACCTCTGCCCCGAGCAGAGAGCGAGGACAAGACGAGTGATGAGCGATATCTTTAGGATCATTTTTGGAAAAGGGTGAACAACAGGGACTCTGACAGCCAATCACAGCCACTTTATGTAATCTAATTTATGGCACTTAGGAAACTTTATAACTTTCCTTCTCTAATCACTCAGTCTTGGCTATTGTTTTCTACAACTAATTAAATGCTTATGTAAGTTCGTTTTAGGCTGCACATCACACATGGTAACAGAGGCGTTACGGGGGCACATAAGTTTCCGCGCAGCCAGCGGGGGAACACAGCGCTTTGCACCCGCCGTTCCTTGCACTCGCGTGTGCTTCTGCAATGGGAATTCACAGACTGGGACAAGATGAACGTCTTAAGGCATCATGTAGGCGGAGCTTCGTTGCGGGTGTGAATGAAAAGAGCTATTTTCTGATTCTGTGTGTAACTTGAAGCGACATTTCATTAAAAAAAAAAATTCTAAGCTGCCTTCACTTGAGCATTAAGGGCACAGTTTGTCTAACTGTGTACAGAACTGGATCATTGATCAGTGTGGATACCCACATTGTCTTTTTTAGTAAGAACATGTCTTATAACTCTGAAACTTTAGGTTTTTTATTTACTAAACTAAACAATCCTCATAGTTGTTTTTTCATTTGTTAAAATACTCAGAATGTTTTAAGAAGCATATTTTCTTTGAGTAAAAATTAAACCAGGACAACAGCAGCATGCAATCTGTTATCCCTGTGTTCACTTGTTCCCCTTTGGTTCTTTAAGTGCAGATGTTTTTGCACATTGCTGGAGGTAAAAATCAGACAGCCTGACAGCTTCTTAACAGCTGCTCTGCCTTCTTGTTTTGTGTCTAGGGCGAACATTGTGGTTCAGTGTGAGAGCTGGTGGAGCCTGGCGAAGCAGTTTGCCAGCCGCAGCCCGCCCCTCCACCTGCTGTCCAGCCCGGTGCAGAGGACTCTGATGAAAGCTCTGGTCCTCGGGGGCTTCGCACACATGGACGCCGACACCAAACAGCAATACTGGGCTGAGGTAATGTGTACTAGTAGTATGTTTTTACTCAGCCAGAATGAACTATTTCTACCAACTAAAAAAAACACAAAGAAGTTAAATATGATTTACAATTTATACATTGAGGGAATTTAAATATTTTGAACTAGAAATAAGACAAATACAGTTGAGGTTTTGTGCAGATTTCTTGATGAATAAAATACAAAAGAAGGAGAAAATAAATCAACAACAATTAATGATAATCAATTTCTCATTTGTTTGTAAGTCATCAACCAAGAAAAAGAAACCACGCTATCTCTCGTGTGAGCTTTGGTCCAGTCACCAAAGTATTTAAATTAGTAATTCATACAGAAGTAGGTGTTTGCTGCCTCTTCCTACACAGATGTGTTTTTGTACATGTATATTATTTTAGACATGGACTAAACACTTCATTTACCTATCATGAAAAACAAGCTGTAATGCATTCACTACTAGTTCTACAAACTGTTGCTCGCTCTCTCTCTCTCTCTCTCTCTCTCTCTCCCTTCCTCTTATGGTGAGAATATCTACAGCAGACAGTTGTGCCTTATGAATAAAGTGTTGTGCTTTAGTGAGTTATGTCTGATGTCTACAGACTCCAGGCAGATCTACAGACGAATTATAGATATAGCCGATAATATTCCCCCTGTCGAGTCTTCCTCCCGTGTGTATAACATGATCCTTTTAGTGATCCTGCAGGCCTGTCTCTTAATAAGCTGACAGTAGTAAGTCAACGGGGGTGCAAAGCCACAATGACTCCAGAGTAATTATTGGGGGTGGGGGGGCTACAAGTGAGACGGCAGCTGTTTGCTCCTGCAGCTGCTTTGGATCTCTCTGTGGGAGGAGGAAGAGGAGAGAGGGAGCCAACGACTGATCAAACACTCCTTTGTTACATCTCCACATTCGTCCTCTTCCCTTACATGCACCGAGAAATCGGATTTGTCCCGTCCAGTCAGATGGATGGATTTGGTTTGATGTGTATGTCATAACTGAGTTCAGAGATCCCAGTTTGACGAGGCAACAGTCAGGAGGTACCGTCTGTCTGCAGAGGAGCGCCACTCCCACTGAACATTGAGAAGAAATAAGTCGATAATAATAACTTCATTTATAAAGCGCCTTTCACTGAAAATCACAAGCAAGGCAGGCAACCAAAAAAAAACAACAACACAGCACATGTTGCAGCTAATCCTCTTCCTCTTGCTGATGTTATTTATCGCTCTGCCTCTACATGATGTGACCATAACCGCCCTCAATCTACTTCACCCCTGATTCAATCAAACCCCTTTTTTTTTTTCTCTGCTAGGTGCTCCACCCGCTCCAGCAGCGTTTCCTCAACCTCATCAACCAGGAGAACTTCGCTCAGATCAGCCAGCAGGAAGCCGTCAAACGGGAAATCGTCGCCACGTTAGAGGCGCTGTGCGGCATCGCTGAGGCGACGCAGATCGACAACGTGGCCTCGCTCTTCTCCTTTCTGATGGACTTTCTGTCCAGCTGCATCGGCCTCATGGAGGTAAGATTGGAGAGAGTTGTGGGGGTGACAGGAAAGCGGTTAAAGGTTGTTGATGCTGTGAAGCTTATAGGTCTGTAAAGCAAACGAGGATAAAGATAAAACGACACCGATTTGATTTGAAAACCAAGTGAACAAATCTGTCTGTACAGTTCAAAAGAGTCTCCAGTTTTTTTTTTATTATGCAGGTGAAAAGTTTTATCTCTGTGAGTGTGATCCTTGAATCCTTGAAGGTCAGGATGAAAATAATTTCATCACTATGTCTTTTTGTCTCTCAGGTCTACAGCAACACGCCCGAGACAATCAACCTCATCATTGAGGTTTTTGTGGAAGTCGCACACAAGCAGATCTGTTACCTGGGAGAGGTGAGTGACACGTGTTACAATACAGAAATGTAGTTAAAGAAGAGAGAAGAAAATGCTTAGGAATGGTAAAAAAAAAAAAAAAGAAGAAGCTGCCATACTTAGAAATTACTATTTCGACGTTTTTGTTTTCTGTTCATGATTCAGTGTTTTTGTCAGCAAAGATTACACATTGATTACACAGTTTGTTCCACAAGTGAACTCCCTGATATTTAATCGAGAGATGTTTTATACAGCGGCAGATTAAATATTTCTATATAATATACATTTATGTATTGCCTCCGAGGCTCCACCGTTTTCTCTTTTATGGCCCTTATAACAATCATAGATCTGTCAAGAATACATCACAGCATTTTCGCTCTAATAAAAGCAAGAGCTCCAAACTATTCTGGTCTTCAGGTCTGCGTTGCTCTTCTGAGATCTTACAGGTCCCTGATGTCTCCTCTCTCTTCCTCCAGGTGAAGTCCATGAAGCTGTACGAGGCGTGTCTGACGCTGCTGCAGGTTTACTCCAAAAACAACCAGAGCAGAAAGAGGAGCGACTCCGCAGCCGAGGAGGACCAGTACCAGGACCTGCTGCTCATCATGGAGCTGCTCACAAACCTGCTCTCCAAGGAGTTCATCGACTTCAGCGACACTGGTGAGCTCGCTGAATGTTTTCCGATGTTAAATTAGAGTAGAGTCCGAGTGGAAGATGGCGCCCTTACTCCCGTTCATGTTGTGTTGTATAGACGAGGTGTTTCGAAACCAGGACCAGGGAACGCCGGCGTCTAGTCGGACGGTATCAGCAGCAGATGTGGTTCTGTACGGTGTCAACATCGTTCTTCCTCTCATGTCTCAGGACCTGCTCAAGGTAAGACTACACAACACAGACATTTGATATCCAATCTGGAGCCAGACGTCTCCCTTCTGCTTCCTTATCAAACTGGATTTGTTACGATGCGGTGTAAGCCCTCTGTGAGTTCATTCTCTGGATCTTGTTCTTGTTTTTTCTTGTAGTTTCCATCTCTGTGTAACCAGTACTACAAGCTCATCACCTTCATCTGTGAGATCTTTCCAGAAAAAATCCCACAGCTGCCTGAAGACCTCTTCAAAAGCCTCATGTTCTCTCTGGAGCTGGGAATGACCTCGTATCCTTAGGATGCCTGTGTGTGTGTGTGTGTGTGTGTGTGTGTGTGTGTGTGTCTGCAGGAGTTTATTGTGTCTGTGCAGATTCAACGACGCCAGTTTCTGTTCTTCTTTAGAAGCTTTGAGTACAAAAAGAAGCTTATTGCCCCAAAGTAAGGGCTTGTTGGTATTTGTCCCACAACTAACATATCCGCACAATCCATCCATCCATCCTTTATCTTTACCAAGGGGGGCTGGAGCCGATCCCAGCTGTCCATATCGGCACTAGTGTGTGACAAAAACAATAAAAAACATAAAACTCAACCCAATCCTAGCATCCTCTTTTAAAGTCACCATGTTCAATCAAGTTCTCAGATTATTTCTGGGATGATTTAACGCCGTAAAAATTAACTATCCTGCACTAAGTCGCAGGTGCTTGAACCAAAACCTGTTCAGTGGTTAGACATTTTTAAAGGTTGAATAACTAAATGTTCCTGCAGCACAGAATAGTATTCTCTATGGATGATATTTTACTAGATTTCTTGTCACTTGTTTTCAGATTTCTTCTTGCATTTTACACAGATCATGCCTCTGCAGCTGCTATGTTTCCTGCTGCCGCTGCCTAAGAGCCCCTCGACAGAGTTCAAGCTTACTGTTATGAAGTGTTTGTTTGCCCTTAACGTGTGTGTTCAGGATGAGTTCAGAGATCAGCCAGCTGTGTCTGGAGGCGTTGTCTCCTCTGGCCGAGCAGTGCGCTAAAAACCAGGAGAAGGACACGCCTCTCTTCATCGCCACTCGTCACTTCCTCAAGGTACAAACACACACTTTTCATCGTGCTTGGCAAACCAGTAACTGTCTGAAGCTTCTATTTACTGTTCAGACTTTAGAGTGTCATCCCATTAAGGTCAGGTGGATAATTAGCCTGTTTTTCAGAATATGGACCTGTTTGTTTTTTATAGAAACTGTTTATTAATGCCCACACACACACCCCCCCCCCCCCCTCCCCCGCCCCTGTCTCCAGCTGGTGTTCGACATGCTGGTCCTGCAGAAACACAACACTGAGATGACGGTGGCAGCAGGAGAAGCTCTCTACACACTTGTATGCCTGCATCAGGTAAGAACATAAAACACAAATCGGTCATATCCAATGAGAAAACCCTCGAATGAAAAAATCTGATTATTATCTCTTAACAAGATCTGACAGTTAAGATATCTACTCACAGGACACCAGATGTGTGTAGCGGACATCTGCCATCTTTCTTTACTGTTCTTTTGCTTTAATTTCAAATGCTGCCTAACTAATACGACCAAAAATACGATCACAAAAGACGAAGCTGGCCTTCACTTAAGCCTAAACCACCATGCCTAGATTTGTTTCTCATTTGATATTAAACTAATGAATAAAGGGGATAATTGTAAGGATAGATAAGTAACATTAAGCTGCTCTGTTAAAGACTCCAAACGCCCCCTAGTGGTCTGTCTATGTCATAGCATGTAACATGTGCAGAATGGAGCAGAGTAAAATGCACATGGTTAAAAAAGTATGAGAAGAGAAGTAAAATATGAAACGCAGATTTAATGAGAATGTTCTTTATGATGGAAATGTTACTGAAAATATCTGAGTGTATGCTCGTACTCTTCAGTGTGGGACAGGAACCATCAAGTCATCACGGATTAAAAATATGAAATACTAAATCTAACTCTGTGTGCTACAGTCACATTTTGTTTTATTTTTTTCCATAGTGTATAAAACAAAAAAAACCTTTTAGTCTTTCTGTCATGTAAACTCATTGAAAGATTCATAAATCGTGGTGCAGATGGCCTAGCGGTTAGGTCACACCACATGTACGGAGGCCTCCAAGCGTGCGGCTTGGGTTTGAATCTGACCTGAAAAAAATCCTCGTTTTTTTTTTTTTGTTTATCAATGAATTTTGACATCAAAAGAAGCCATGCAGGACGAACTGTAAATCTTCAAATGAAAGCCGAGCCCAATTTAAGGCCACAAGTTTAGAGCCTGCTGTTGCTGCACATTTTGCAAAATAGAGGCCGGTCTCAATTAGAGACCCCTAAGCATTTACTTTAGAAATTGTTTGCAGATTAAGGAGAAAAAACTGCAAGACACAGTAAAAATAATTATTGGTCAGTGCCCCCTAGTGGACAATTGGTGTCATTTCAACAGCTGTGACAAACATGTAGATGGTTTTGGTTCTGTTACGACCTCTGACCCTGAGTTGGTGGTCTTACGTTTGTTTCCCCCCCTGTCCCATCAGGCGGAGTACTCTGAGCTGGTGGAGACTCTGCTCTCGTCACAGAGAGACGCTGTCATCTACCAGCGGCTGGCCGATGCCTTCAACAAGCTGACGGCAAGCAGCACGCCGCCCACCATGGACCGCAAGCAGAAGGTCGCCTTCCTCAAGAGCCTCGAGGAGTTTGTGGCCAATGTGGGCGGCCTGCTCTGCGTGAAATAACCACTGGAAACCGACGCCGCCTCAAATCATCGTTTTGAAACGCAACCAATCAAAGACGACCCCCGCTTCAGCCCCCGAGAACTCTCGGTAGAAGAAGATTGGGCTGGAAGCCTCGGAGGAACTCTTCGTCTATCTGCCTGCGCTGCGGGGGAATCATCTCATGCCTGAATGTTTTATCCTCCTCGGGTTTCTGTTTTTGTTTTTGCCCACCTGTTGGCCCGGCCCTCCAGCATGATTGACAGACTTAAAGATGATGATGATGATGATGTGGTTACCATGGCAATTGAACTGCATAGCAGACTGGATGACTGAATCAATGAAGCACTGACCATCATGACGAGTAAAGGGGCGGAGCAGCAGCTGATGTGTGGCAATGTTTCCTCCACACACACACCCCCACCCCTCTTTGCTGCTGCCCGGTTTACCTGGAGGCTGCCAGAGCACACACACACACACACACACACACACACACACACACACACACACACACATACAGAGTGATGTGAGGTTAAACAGGATTTTTTTTTTTTTTTAAATCAAAGGAAGTGTGAGAGTTTGAAGGTTTTAGAGTGGCGATTTGTTTCCTGAATTGAACACACACATTTCATTTTAACAGTTTCCACTCTCACACACACAAACACACACACACTGACACACACACATTCGCCCCAAATCCTTCCCAGAGTGCCTTTGTTTTGTTGATTGTTCAGTGTGTGTGTATGTGAAACATGCCATACATTAACTGACAACACACAACGACTGTGCCTGTTCTACGCCAAGAATAAAGTGCATACACACAAACACATTACATTAAAATGCACACACACACACACACACACACACACACACACACACACACACACACACACACACACACACACACACACACACACACACATTAAATTAAAATGCAGACACACAAGAAACTTCTGGCTGTCTTTGGGGGTTGCTGATCCGCACAGTGCAGGAGGGCGATGATGACAGAAAACCAAAATCAGATTGTGTTTCATTAAAAGGATGTACATATATATAAATATAAAGTTTTCAAATCAGAAGCCAAGAGAAATGAATGTTCATAGAAACAGAAGCAACACAACAGAAATGTTTTTATATGCCTGTAGACAGCAGGAAGAGTTTAATGAGTTCACCATTGAATTAATTCAGATAAAGAGGAGCAACTTTCTCTGTGTTGACTTTTTCTTTTTCTTGCGGTTTGATATTTTTGTTCTTTTTTTGGATTGTAGTATTATGTTGCCCCCCCCCCCCAGGAGAATCGGGCCTCCTGAAGTTTAGCAGATTAATTTCAGTAGTATTTTTCTACAGCAGCACCTCCACCGTTTCTCTTTTCAACACACACTGGATTGAAGCAGAGACTGTCGGACAGCAATAACGAACCAAATAAAAAAGGAGCAGAGCCACTCGTAGAAGCGTTCTTCTGTTGGAGACAGATCCACATTCACAGCACTATCCTGGTCATTGTAGAAAGGCTGTTTTGTTAATGAAGTGTAAAAGTGTACATAAAGTTATTGTATAAAAAGTTCTGGCCTCAGAGTTTTCTTTTGTCCTGTTTGCTGAAATCTACTTTAGTAATGAATACAGGTTTTGGTTTTATCAGAGAACGTCAGACTTAATGAGGCATGAGTGAGACTTTCTGTTTACATCTAAGTCACCTAAGAAAACTAACGAAGTAAAATGAAAACAAGGCTTTACCAAAAATATATGATTAACTGAACTTTTATTTTTTGTTTTAAAGAAATAAACAAAAAATACTAATACAATAAAGGGTCCTTAGTTTTCATATTTGACACAAACTAATTCAAACTAAATTGAAAACAAAAAGTCAAAATGAAATCCACTGAGAGTCCTCTGCACTGACAGTCGGTGTCTGTGGACAGCAAAGATGGCCAACGCAGCTGCATTTGTATTTTCCACGTGGGCATTCACAAGTCGTGGAGAGAATCCCCTCTGCACCTGTAGAGACCTGCGTATCCGTGGATTTCATGTTAATAACTGCCAGTTTAGTTCATTTTAATAAACATATTTCATGGAAATGTGCGTCTAAGTGATTGGATTTTTTAAAAATACATTTAAAGATCTTAATTCTACATACAGTGGTGATTCTAGAGCCTGTTGGAGCCCTCGGCAACTATCAATTGGTGGGCCCTCTAACCAACAATCAGCAGGCCAACGAGAAAGAGTGCTGTCAGATGGGGCCCCCCTTTAGGGACCGCCATTGCAAAATGTGTACATTTTAGGCCGCTGCTTTGGGCCCCCTGCTGGTCTGGGGCTCCAATCTAATCATTTTAGATCAGATGATGTTCATGTTTAATCTTGACCTGAAAACTAACTAGTAACTAAGACTGCCAGCTAAATGTAGTGAAGTAAAAAAGTATAATATTTGCCTCAAACATGCAGCGGAGTAGAAGTGGAAATACTCAAAGTACAAATACCACAAAATTGTACTTAGTTACAGTCCACCACTGCTAACACTGATGTGAATGAATCCATTACACTCCTCCCTATCTTGATAGACCCCTGTCCCTCATGTTGGCCCTGACAGCACCAGTAAGGAGACCAGCATGTAGGCTGCACTGCTCCACATGAGGTCCTCCCCCCTTTCTACACGTTTCTGTTCGTCTTTGAGAAATGATGCGATGCTAGATACGGGCAAGTTAAGGGGGAAATTATTTTGTAGTGGTATATATCAATATATATATATCGATATCAAATAACCACTTACAAGCAATTTCTTTACTCTCTCTGTAATGACGTCATCAACGCGCGACTACTCACATGTTCACAACACAGCAGCAGCAGCAGCAGCAGCAGTGAAGTGCACACCGAGCCCTGGTCAGGTATGTCAACCTTTCCTCTCTGTCGTTTATTGTATTTAATTCATTGGAGATTTATGCTCATATGTGTGTGTGTGTGTGTGTGTGTGTGTGTGTGTGTGTTTTCTACATAGTTGTTTGTAGTGAAAGCAGAACAGTCAAAGTGAGTTACTAATACAAACTAAAACAAAGTCTCTGTTTGGGAACAATGTTGTTTTATTTAAACAGGAATGTAAAAATGACACGTTTTACAAACAGGAGTGTATCGTAGGAATCTTTCAAAACACATTGATTGATTAATAAATATGATGAACATTTGTGTTGGATCATCAGGTCGGACGAATCAACATTGGTGATTTCTGTCTTGACTTATTTCTGTTTTCTATTTATTTTTTCCTTAACATAAGAAAACACATAAATAATAGATCAATAACAAGGGAAACAGTACAAGCTCTACATAATGATTTGGAGGTTAAAAAAATAGGAACAGTGAAATATATAATCATAAATAAATATGTCATATAATGATTATGAGGGTGCAATGATTAACTAATAGGCTACAAATGTTTGGATGTATCTTGTATGAATTTAAGATGACTGTCAATTGTTTCAACAACGACTTCCTCGGGATCTGATGGAGAACAGAGAAAAAGTATTCCTGAAAATTGCTGCATTAAGATTATTCTGACGGATCTGGGAATTGAACTGGAGAAAACATTTTGAGACTGAGAGTAAGGTGTTTATGGATTGGGAAAGAGAAAAGAAACACACATACTTGAAGCTGGTTTGTTTCAAAGATGTGGAGAAGTCTTTCTTTCCCAGCCCGCCCCATCACTCCTCCATCGGGGGCTCTCGCTGGGGCTGCGGAGGGTCAATGCGATGGGGTCCCTGTGACCCCCTCTTCTCGACTCTGAACAATACCATAAACCAGATTTATGTGCATGTTTGTATGTACGTCTATATAGGTGCACATTGTTCTTCTTTTTATTATTAATTATTATTATTATATTATTATTATCTCCCTGTTCTCTTCTTCTTTTCCTCCATCTTTTTATGATGGCCACATTAACACCAAACATTTTATTTTGTTATTTCTATGTATATAAATTAAAATTTAAAATGTTCTTCTTTCCTTTAATGTTGACACATATACATCTTTTTTCTTTCCTCCCCTCTTTTCTCTTCCTTTCAATTACCTTCAGTTTTGTTGCTATTTATTTTTCTTGCTACTTCCCATTCAGCCACTCACTTTAATGTATTTTATTTATTTATTTTATTTATTTTTCTTGCTACTTCCCATTCAGCCACTCACTTTAATGTATTTTATTTATTTATTTTATTTATTTTTCTTGCTACTTCCCATTCAGCCACTCACTTTAATGTATTTTATTTATTTATTTTATTTATTTTTCTTGCTACTTCCCACTCAGCCACTCACTTTAATGTATTTTATTTATTTATTTTATTTATTTTTCTTGCTACTTCCCACTCAGTCACTCACTTTAATGTATTACACTGCCACACACACACATTCACACGTCTCTTATACACTACTTCAACTTACTACTTGACTTTTATTATATCTACTTCAATTGTATTTGTCTTTGCTAATGTTTGCGTGTTTTGATTTTGTTTTGTTTATTTCTGTTTTGCCTGTTTTTGTTTATTTGCCGTCGCTTTAATCGTCATGTTTATATGCACATTTTTGTTTTGTACTTGTTCACCTTATCACAATGGAAAAAAAAGAAACACTGCTAGAAAAAAAAAGAGATGTGGAGAAGTCGTAAGTGTTGGGAAAAAAACAAGTAGAACTGCTAAACCTGTTTGACAATGTTTCTAAAACTTTTACCGCAAGATCATGATGTTTGCACTTTTAATATGCGTCTACAGGTCTCATAAATCTATGTTTTTATTTCTACCCAGCTGTATAAAACCTCAATAACAATGTTTTTCTTTTGCTTTAGGTTTTCCTCCTTAGATAAATAATCTGCTCAAAAGCAGCTGCTCTCCTGTCAGCGTCCTCTGCTCCGTCAGCCATGAGTGACAGCGATGATGATGATGATGTCCCTGCTCTGTCCGCTCACACTCTGGCTGCCCTGCAGGAGTTTTACAACGAGACCACAGCTCAGGATGAGAGCTCGACACCGGGAGACCAGTTCGCTGTGGGAGCAGTGGAGGAGGACTGGGTGAGTTTACTGGGTTTTGATAACGACATGAGACAGACACACAGCACACTGTCGGCTTTAACCCACAAAACTTCACAGCATCACTGATATCTTTGTGCATCCGCCTTTCCACCAGCGGATGAGTCAGTTCTGGTACAGTGATGAGACAGCGACTCAGTTAGCCGAGGAGGTCGTACGTGAAGCCGGAGAGGGAGGCAGGTAAAAACACACACACACACACACACACACACAGTCACACACAGTCACACACAGAAAGACCCGATCGAACCCTCTTTTGAGACCCCCCTGAAGCTTCATCTTCAGCATGCCATCTTTTTACCCTCAGGATCGCGTGCGTGAGCGCCCCCAGTGCGTACCAGAAGTTGAAGCAGGGCGTGGTGGACGGAGCGGACCGCGTGTCCGCCGTCGTGTTGGAGTACGACCGCCGCTTCGCCGCCTACGGAGACGACTTCATCTTCTACGACTACAACGAGCCGCTGTCTCTCCCAGCCCACGTGGCCCCTCAGAGCTTCGACATCGTCCTCGCCGACCCGCCGTACCTGTCCGAGGAGTGTCTGAGCAAAGTGGCCAAAACCATCCAATACCTGAGCAAAGGCAAAGTGCTGCTGTGCACGGGTGAGAGGGGGAGGGGGAGGGGGAGGGGCTGCTGATGATATTTACAGTCTATGGATATGATGATATAGTGAGGTCACTTTGTATTTTACATCAGTATATATCGTACATATCGGTCCTTTAAATGGTAAAATACGAATACTTTCTGTATATTTGATCCGTCTCTGTTCTGCAGGAGCGATCATGGAGAAATGTGCCAAGCAGCTCCTGGATGTCAGAATGTGCAGCTTCCTCCCCAAACACAACAGAAACTTGTCCAACGAGTTCCGCTGTTTCGTCAACTATCCGTCTCGCCTGCTGTCCTGCCGAGGAGCATCAACCTCCGACTGACCAGAACCCGAGAGCCTGATGGAGTGAGGACGTGACAAAACGTGACTCCCTGATGATGTCATGGTGATGTCATCAGGTGTAAGTTTGGAGACTACGGAGTTTAACATTTATCTGCTTCCTTTAAGACTTCTGGCTGGAAGACGTCGGCTTGAACCAGAAACAAGAACTGACAAAAAAAAAAAAGACTCATGGAGTTGCATTATGGGAAATGTAGGATCCAGTGTGTTTGAGGCAATACCCATGCAACTCTGGCCTTATGTGGTGTTATGTGGTGTTATGTATAAGCTCTCTAACAAATCAGTCTTTTTTAGGAGTGCACCAACTTTAAGTGGCACTCAGGGAGTTTAATTTTCCCCTTTCATTGAGTAAAGTTTTTTCAGTTTTTCTGTTGGGTTGATCTTGTTCGATCTCAAACCCCGTATTTGCTGAAATTAAAACCCTGGTGGAGCAGTTCAAGACGTTTTTATAATTAGTCTACCAGCATACATTTTAGAGACGTGTATACCTCACCTTTGACCCAAATATTAAAATGATAGCCTCACAATCCAGATGTCTAAACGTACAACAGAGAGAACAGAAGAAAGTTTACACTTTAGTTTTACACTTTACACAAGGCACAAAATGAGAACTTTATTGTGAGTCTTGAAAACAGATGCACAGCTCCTCTAGTGGCAGACCACACCAGGGACCGGTTTGACTTTTTTTGCACGTTTTATTGATTCCTGATCAGACAGGACAGAAAAAAAAACCCATCAGTTCTGAGTTCAATGACGCAGATGAAAAGGAGCCAGATGAATGGGAGTCAGAACCTAGGGGTGCTGGTTCAGCTCAGATGATAGAGAAGGGGTCCCATGTAATGGGGCTGGAGTCCTCGTCGATGAACTGGTCGCAGGTTCAATATTTCCTGTCTCTATACCTGTCCTGTCAAATAAAGGCCAGAACGCCAAAAAAAAAGAACTTTTGTAGCTGGAGTGTTTATTGTATCCCTCTACATGATGTGATAATTACACCTTTTGAGAAACCTCCTGCATCCTGAAAATACAAAATGAGACTTATAATACACAAGTGATGCATTTCTTTGCTTGGAGAGGTGAGCATGCACTGCGCTGATCTCGTAAATCTCCCCCACATTTGTTCTTTAGACTGTTTTTTATTCTTTGCTGAGTTTTGACAGGTACAAACTTTATCAACAACTACATTAAGATGAGAAGTTGTCTTTAAAAAAATGTCACTGAAGACAAAACTAACAGGGAAAGTTGATCTTTCTGTCAGTAGGTGGCAGTGTTGATCATTTTTATGATTACGGATTATTATTCCACTTGTCTGTTTGCTTTAAATTTCAAAAGGGTATGTTTGTCCGCCAAATGACATAAGCATTTATGGAATGTACTCCTAGTGTTATTGTCCACACAGATGGCTGAGGTTGAATTTATTTAATATCAGTTTGTCAAAAATAGGACAGGTTGTAAATCAGTCTGCTCTACTCTTAAGTTTGAATCCTTTAAAATCAACTGAAGTTAAGACATTCTTCTAAAGAGGAGGACAAATATCTGCTGGAACTCAGTACAGGTAGAGAAGGATCCAACTAATGTGCATCTGTTGAAGAATAATTTATCTGGAGCACCACCGTCGGCTTTGCTTCACACTTTCTTCCTCACAGAGACGAGGCGCCTTCGGCCCGTTTTGTTCTCCACTCTGTCCAGACTCTGGTTGCTCTTGTGTCCGTCCCTCTCCTTCTCCAGCAGCGGCACACAGGTGCACCCCACAGCGATGGAGACGTAGATCTCTGTGTACGAGTGTCTTCCTCCCAGACAGGAGCCCGTCCTCTTCAGGATGACGGAGGGAGCGTAGACCGGAGTGCTGCGGTACTGCTCGCTCTCCTCGCCGTACGGCCCCATCAGGCAGCCCTTACACAGACAGTACGCCTCGGGGATGTAACGGGGATACCGGGATGGGTCGTAGGAGAGCCTGGGAGTAAAAGAAAAAGAAGTCAACAGAATTTGACTCTGCAGAATTAGACTTCGGTTATTGAAGGTGGTCGCTGCCTTCTGTGCCATCATCACACACTTTCTGTTTTAACTCAACCCACCTTCAGTTTGCACGCCCTTAACTTTAGACAATGATTAATTAGGACTCTGAGATACATTTTGTCCTCTTTTTCTGCAGCCCACTCAATCTGTGATTTCAAAGTAGAGGCAGTAGGAGGAGCTCTTGATGAGAGCAGGGATGTGCTGCAGGTCAAACAGAAGAATTGAACTGATGTGAAAGAGAGATATGTTTGACTGAACCCTGCCTGCCTGATGTGGATCTGCTGGGCTACCAACAGCCCAAACAAACCCACTAAGAGGTTTTACCAACCCACCTTTATTTGACAAAGATCCTGATTCTCCTTTGCAATTTGACCCTAACCCTTTGAGAAAGCAAACGTAATAAATATAAAATATTATAAATATCAGAGTATATGATATAGCAGAGGCTTTGAAATGTACCAGAAGCCACCGAGCCACCGGGGCATGAATCTGGACCCCCTAGCTACCTCTTCCCACTGGCTGACTTCTCCAGCCATGTGTGTGGAAAACCCTGTATCATAAGTACATTTATAATTCTGGAAAATGTACTCTATTTTATTATTTTACATTACTCTACCATGTTCTTAGTGCATTTTGTCACATCACAACATATTATTGAGATTTCACTGAATTTGTGATAGAAAGTTAGTAACACTGAAAGTTCATAATTGCAATATAACGTCAAAGGTCAAAGGTATGTTTATTGTCCCCACAGGGGAATTCGTTTGCAGCTGGAAACATACATCATAATAATACATAATACATAGACAACACTAAGAAATAATCCCACTAACATTCCTTAACTGATAAAAAACTGAAATCATGACTTCTAAAGCCTTAGTATGACCGTTATCTAAAATAAGCAAATGTGAATTTTCTGTAAATGTTTAAAGTAAAAACATACAATAAAAAACATGACACATAACATAATACAAAAATATTTTACTGTAGCTATTTAAGACTTCTTTGTAAAGACAAACATGCCTGGTACAACTTATTCCCACTTTGTGATAGGCAGAAGTCCAGATGTTGATGTTTTTCAGTGGCAGTCATAAGACATGTTAAACCCTGTAATCATAGATGAAAAGTTCTGGAGATATAAATGTTTTAAGAGAACATGTGTTACACTTTTGCATTAAATGTAAGAGTATTGTAAAAGGAATTAAAATATCTGGCAAATGTAAAGGCCTGAGATTCCAAATTCCACCTGCGCTCACCTGTAGGCCCAGGGGGAGATGCTGAGCAGGTTGACCGGGAGGCGGGTCTTGCTGTTGTTTGGGGACCGCGCGGTGGTCGGGCACGTGAGGTTGAGTCTGTCCTGTGGCTCCAGCTGCAGCGCGTGGTGGAAAGCGCTCATCACTCCAATGGAGAGCCGGCCGAACATCTGCTCCAGGATCTCCTCCGGCAGGTCCAGGCAGGACCGGGTCCTGGTGGCCTTTTTGCGTATCCGCACAGCCCCGACAGGCCAGCCCAGCAGGAGCACGACCAGGTGCAGCAGCAGCAGCAGCATGACGCGGAGGCGACGTGGCTCCATCGCGCTTCTATGTACGGTGATGTGCCAGTAACGATATTCGCTCAAAACAACGCGCTAGTTTCACGTCTTCAACAGAGATTATTATTGAGACAGTCCTTTACAATTAAAAGGCTACTCTCCTCTGTTAACATCCAGTGAAATGTTTGGGGCGTAGGAAAAGCAGAGGCAGGCGAACAGTCCACAGTCGTGGCTTTAAAACCGAATCACAGGCGCGCCGCCAACCAAGCTGCGGAAACATTTTGGCACAACACGTCCACAGCGTCGCCAGGAGCAATAATTGACTCAAAATCTGAAAATATTATCCAGTAGGGAGTTTAAAACAGCCGCCGAGTTCTGTTTAGGGCGAGAAAGTACAGAAAAATACAACCTTTCCTGTTGCTGTTCTCCAGCGACGTGTGCGTAAAATCCGCTGGAAATGTTTGTGCGTGCAGGAACGGCGTGATCCACCACTGAGAGCGGGTCTAAATCAAACTGAAGTACTGACAAATGAAGAGCGCGGTGTGCATGACAGCAGAGTGGGACGTCCAGACTATGTGCCTGCTGGATCCTGGCTGCACACCAGAGTCTACTTCACTAAAAGATAAACTGGATCCAGCTTTGACAAACCTCTAAAGACTTCTCTGGTTTGAATGATAACTTTGAGGTCAAACCACCACAAACAGACGCAAATCATCGCTTTAAGTACATATTTGTGACTTCTTTCCTTCTTCCTACTTGGTTATGTCATCAGGATTTATGCACCAGAGCTTTAGCTGTTATCATGCATATCAAAAGCCAGTTCAAAAGTAATTCAGTTTTCCTTCCAATAAATCTTCTCTTTTATCTGCTGCTTTGCCTCGAGAAACTTCATGTTCATAACTCAGATTGTCACTTTGTATACTCTCACATTGAAGGGAAAACATCCCACACATCCTCGGCATCACCAAATTATTAGAAAAAAAAACAAATTTCTTTCCCTGTGATCGTTTGTCGAGTGAGTTCTGCACATACATGAACACACTTGACAAAGGTTCGGAGGGACAGAAACGTGATTTCTTTTCCTAATAATTTGGTGAAGCCAAGCAGGAGAAGTGTGCAGGATTGCTTCTGTTAATTGTGATGGTTGTATATCCTACACACCTACTTCTTGAGATAGTTGTAAGTGCAAACCTCTTCTCCTTTAAAACTTGACTCTGAAGGTTAATTATCTCAGAATGACACAGTTTGAGTTCAGCATGTAAAGTATTGAAATATTTTAATGATATAATGTACATCAACAAAGTAACAAACTAGAAAAATAAATATTACACTCCAACATTCTTTAGAATAAGTAGAAGATGTATAAAACTACAGGAACAGGGCGGCACATGGACGTATTTCTCTGGGTTTGGTATCTCCATGTTGATGCATTTTCCAGAAGGTTCCCACGCTCACACATGGAAACATACAGCGCAGTCCAAATGACCAGGACAGCGATATGTTTCTCATTGTTTTGGCTCTGCGCCCCATCGCTGGATTCAAGGGCTTTCAGGGTGTGTGAGGGCGTTCACGAGCGTATCGGGTGAGCGCTGAAGAAGTTGTACTCGTGGGAGGAAAAGTGTTCTCCAGAAAACTCAGGAATTTATAAACACTCCATCCAATATGTTTGTAATCACTGTTAGCTCAGAGTCGAATTTGAAAACTTGAATTTCTTTGTCAGTGGTTTTTAAATGTTTTCTGCAGGAGCTCAGAGCTGGAAGAAAACTGTCCTAATAGAAGACGATGGAAATGCAAACAGCTGTAGAGCTTTGCATGTATGCAGGAACTCTAAATAAATATTTATCTTCGAGAACTGAGCCTCAGATTTACAACTAAAGATATTCAGATTTAAGGCAAAGATGAGTTATTAAACATCACACTCCTACACTCAGAAGTCACAACAGCAGAGTGACTGGACTCCCTGAAATATAAAACATCCTGTAACGTTTTGGGTGTCCTGCCTTTCAGAAGACTTAATAAAAATGTTCTGACAGTTTGGTCTGAAGGGGTCAGAGCATCTACTCGGGCAGCAGGTCGTCTCCGAGCTCTTCGTCTGCGAAGTCGTCGTCCTCCACGCGTCTCTTGGCGCCCGTCTTCGGCCTCTCCATATGAGGCCCCAGAGGGTCCACGTAAGATGCATCTGTACGAGGGAGAACAGGTTTTTTTTCTGGTTTTAAATTTTCCAGGTGAATTCTCCACATAGAGGTCGATCATTTAATTTTCTACAAGGGCCTGTCAAAGCAGCAAACACATGTTTAAAGATTGTTGACCCTGTGTGCCCGAGTGGTTAGGCGTGCGCCCCATGTACAGAGGCTATAGTCCTCGAAGCGGGTGGCCCGGGTTCAAATCTGACCTGTGGCTCCTTTCCCGCCCGCATGTCAGATTCAGACCGCTGCCACTCTCTCTACAGCTGTGGCTATGTTGGTAGTGTCGGTCGTCTCTCAACCAGAACGTCTGGGGATTGATATTTGTATGTGTGCAAGTTTGTTTTTACGTCTCCCAATCAGGCCAAGAATTTACACAACTTTCACACTTTCATAACTTCTTCTTCTGAAAGCTCATTTCCTGTTGTGTTTGACTGGATGTGTCAATAGAAGATTACATGCAACATCTTAAAATATTTCTATGAACGATCTCTCGGCCACATAGATATTTAGAAACTGTGATTAAAAAAAAAAAATCATCTATCAAATGTATTTTTATTTCTTAAAGGTTTATTCTGGGGCTTTTAATGTTTTATTTAGAGATAGGACTGAGGATAGAGTCAGGAATCAGGGAGAGAGAGAGAGAGGGAGAGAGAGAGGGAGAGAGAGAGTGAGAGAGAGAGAGAGAGTGGGGACTGCTAGCGGGAAAGGAGCCAAAGGTCAGACTCGTATCAGGGACGCCCGCTTGGAGGACCATAGCTTCCGTTTATGGGTTGCATGCAATAACCACTAGGCCACCGCCGCCCCAATCAAATTTAATTTAAAGCTTCTTATGTCAACATTAAAAATTACAACTTTAGGCTTCAGTGGAAGAAAAATGACAGTAGCACAGCAGCGTCACCATCAGAGTGGGCTGTGTGTGGTGCTTAACGTGATGCTGAATGTAACCTGGCACATTTAACCGCCTGTAAATAACTCACACTAATGATTGACAGCCTCTACAACATCAAGGGATCAAAGAGAAACGAGAACAAGGCAGGTATTATAACACAAACGATCATAGCGAGTAAGAGAGACACACAGAAAAGACAAATCTGTTTCCTTTTCTTACCGATCTCTTTCGGGCTGCTCGCCTCGTAGGGCTCATTCGAACCAGGAAGTGACCTCATCTTGGCGCTCAGACGCTCTCCTTTAGTGCTGTTGCTGCTGTGGCCGCTGTCTGCAGCAAAACACACAAACATACTCAGAATTAGAGAATGTGTTTGGACACGTTTAAAAAGGTGTTTACTTTCTCGTCAAAGCTGGAATGATTCATGTTTTGTTGAGTGTAGTGGTTTCTCATCTGGTGTTGAGATGAGTGTGAAACCGTGCAGCCCGTGTTTGAACATCTGGATTTCTAACTTTAGCTTTTTCAAGACCCAAATTTCTTCTCATCTTTCAAACAAATATGAACTTTAAACTAAACCAGGAATACTTTTCATCCCCTTTTAAGTGTGTATGAATGGAAGAACACTTTCCACAGCAGCCTCTAACCATCAGTGTGTAAATGTGAAGGTGTGAGCTGCGGTGTAAAAGCACTTTGAGTAGTCGCTATACAAGCTCAAGTCCAAACATTTGCTATAAACAGGTGTACACAGATAAAGAATGATTGATCGAACAGTATGAATAAAAGTCAACATCAATGCGGCCCTTCAGTGTCCATTTCACAGTTGTTACATGACGATGTTGAATACGATGCAAGAAACCTCGCTGACTTTGTGCGTCTGTGTCAGTTTCACATCAAAGCAGATGAAATGCACAGAGGTCCAACTGGACGTCGCTCATTTTCCTCACAGTCTGAAAAGTCAACATGATGAGATGTGAGATTTTCATCCTACTGCGAGAGAAACTCGGGAATCCTCTGAGCGAAGCAGCAGCTCCCACACATTACAGTCAGATGGATATTTATTCAACACATTTCAATATATAAAGTTTATATTGGTGGAATAATCCTCTAAACAAGACAAAAAATGTCGGCGTTAACTTTTACTTTCAGATGGGCGCTTGTTAAAGAGGCTCTGATGGAACTTGCAGCACATTGTGAGGCTGCGTAAAGGAACCTTAATGATCAATTCAGATTTTTTTGCTTGGATCTGATTGTTTTTTTTTTTGGGCTGTTCATGTTATGTTTAAGATGTGGCCTGTATCAGACTCCTGTTGAGAATCTTTGTTAAAAAAAAAAGGCGGATTCTGAGTCAATCTGTAGCTCATCTCATCAACACGGCAACGGTCACAGGCATCAACAATGTCCATGCATAAAAAGTCAATCTTTGTTCTGATGGATAGTCGTTTGTTTTGAAGATCAAAATGAATATCAGGCCGTTTCATAACCAGCTGAACTCTCCTCACAGGAGCTTTGAGTTCTCTTAGAGATGGATTCATTTAGCCGGACGGTTTTTTTTGTTCGTTGCTATTTTAACAAGAAAGAAACATGCTTCTGATCAGCCTCACACATTACTTTTTTTAAAGACCATTTTTGATCTAATCACAAATATGTGGACGTTTTTTCAACACTTTTTGAAAATCTTAAACTGGCCTGTGTACTGACATATGATTGGGTCGAAATGACGACTAGACACAAACGTTTTGGATTTCATCAGCAGTGAAAGAGGCTGTGTAACTCCTTCCACTAAATCTAGAAAGGGCTCCTTATTAAGAGAGTCCACTACAAACGCCTGTGTAAAAAAGGTTAGGTTTTAAAAAACACAAGAATTACCCTTTATAAGAAATCACTGGCCAAGCACTTAAAGGAGACCATCCATCAAAATCCAACAGGAAAATCCCTTTAACATCCCACAAGAGAGCAATTTACCGACGAGGCTGAACACTGGACCCCCCTTAGGCTCTAATCATTTTAGACAACGAGCCGGGACTCTTCACCAGATTTATGAATATGTTGAAAGTGTGTGTGTGTGTCTGTGTTCCAGGCTACGATGACATGGTGACAGAGCAGTCCAGTGAGCTGAAGCACAGACATGATTACAGACAGCAGCAGCACACATCTGGCTGCCAGGTAGCTTTTAACCCGTTGACAGAAGAACGCAGAGAGCTGAAAAAACAGGAAGGAGAGCGATATTCCACCTTTCCTCACCGTCTGAAACGTCTCACTCGAGGCCGCACAAACTGCTGGCAGACCTGAAACCTGTGCTGGGAAATGATTTTTTTTTTTTTTCCCCTTTTCTTTTCTTGGATGTCTCGGTGGATTTTCTATTTTACAATCCACAACTTGGAAAAAGAGGGATGATACAACAGGTTGGAAGCCAGACTGAAACTGAATGGAGAGTAACTGTTTCCACACGTAGAGTTATATAATTAAGCTTTAAACGCCCAAACAACAAAAATACAGCCCGAGCATTTCAGAGAGGTCAGACAGAGAAGTCGATCGATATTTACAACTGTTGTTCCAGCTAACAAAGTATTTGGAAACACTATGAAATCATAAACTTTCTGACAAGCAATGAATAAATGCATTTTTAAACACTAGCTGATATTTCTTAATTTGTTTATACATGAAGAAAACAAGAGGATTTGGTTACAAAAAGTTAAAACGCAAATATTATTCAAAAGAAAGATGAGTAATACTCGACATTTCTATCCTTTCTTTTACTTTTTGAGAGGAGAAGACGCAAAGAACGATGTATTAACTGCCCGTCAACACACAAACTCTCAACTGACAGAGCTGGAAATGTGCAGACTTTGCAGAAAATACGTTTTCTCAGATATCTGACGGAGGGTCTGGGGCGATTGCTTCCTCCTCCTCCAAAGTGAGAACTCCGAATGCAAACACCAAACCACCTGCAGTATCAACATCACAGCTGCCTGTCAGAAGATTTCTGGACCCTTTTCAGCTGTTTTGACTCGAATACTTTCTTGTTAACGTCTCTGAAAAGTGTTCTGACTGCTCTCTTAACCACACAAACAACCCTCAGATTGTGTTTTTTTTTTTAGTTAGAAGGATTTTCCATGATTTCTTAGCAAGCATGATAATAAATACGCATATTAAAACATCATACTTGGGTTAAATTACTACTATGAAACAACTGAAAGTGTAAGAACATGCTTTAAACTGTACATGAAGTTTGCTCCCCTGCAAAATCGGGAAAAAACAACTAAATGTTATTTTAAAAATGATTTGTAAAAAATACACTTTAAGATCTTCAAAGAGGAAAAGGAGATTTAAAAACAGAATTAGGATGTCATAGCTAGCTTCATAACACAAAGACATCCATTTATTTAACTAATCTAGCTATGCTAACATCTGGCCCAGCAACAACAGTTAAAATGAAACTTTTGGAAACGATGTCAAAATGTTTCCTTCTCCAGTAAATGATCGTGGAGTAAAAGGAGCTCTAAAATTGTAAGAGATGTTCTGGGACTTCTGGGAACCTTCCTACTTGTATACCATCATGTAACTCATCTAACTTTCTTCTTCTTTCTCCGATGTCAAGCATCACACATGATGACCCTGCCCATCTGTCAAGGTCAAGGTCAACTTTTTTTTTTTTTATCCCTGAGGGGCAATTTGCGAAACAGCCAGCAGTGAATAGAAACAACTGAAATGAACACATCAAGGGGGGAGGATTTACATGATGCTGTTAAGGAGACCAATGGTACCAGGGACACATTTTTAAATCTGTTCGTCCTGCACCTGAGCTTGTACGCTGTACAAAGGGGGAGAGTGCAGTCCCACAGGATAGCCTTTTGCTTTATTTTTTTTTGCTGTTGCTGTCTGAAAAAATAAGGTATACATAAAAAAAGAAACGTCCTCTCCCTGCCAAGGATGAGAGACAAGTCAAACTAAACAAGCAGATTCTGAAAAGAGCTTTAAAAACGAGGTGTTGCAATCCTAAAAAAAAAAAAAAAAAACAGATTGTATTTTGTTACAGTGATACAGTGAGTATCTTTTACATACCTCTCCCTGAGTCCAACAGTGGACTGAGTTGTTTAGGCTCAGATTGAGAAACTTTGCAGCAAAGAGGAAGCAGAGAGAGGTTGCAGATGAAGCCGCAGAAAACAGAGAAAAGAAAGAAACATTACAGAGTTAGACTGAAGTGACTGCAGAGAGAGAGAGAGAGAGAGAGAGAGAGAGAGAGAGAGAGAGATTTCACAAGCATGCGTAATGTCAGCTTTTGAGAACTGATTTGTTGGCAGCTTTGCACTCTCACCTGCTTTAACTTCCATGTCTGATGTGCAGAGGGAAAGTGAAGAAAAAGTGATTAGTTAAGGAACTTAGAAGTGTAAGAAGAAAACCAATATTCAAGGATAAAAGGGATCACACATAATGCAAAACTTTTTCCAAGAAATGCAATCACAGCTGTGGTAGGAAGAAACAAAATGGGACAGCTAAAGAACGAGAGTTTTTCTAACCTAATTTATCAGGACAAAGGAGAGTAATGGGAGTCTTGGCAGGGTGGAGTCCCACTCACTTTAACAGGTGCTTGATATATATATATTTGTGTTTAACTACACTATGGGTTAGATGCTGAGCTGCATGAGAGAGTGAAGCTGGGCCTCGTTACAGTTTTTTGGCAGCCGTCTGCAGTTTGTCTGGATTGAGTTTAAATTCTGCCCAGGAGCCAGCTTTCCAGAGCCGGAGCCAGTCTGGAGAATGTGTCTGTGTTTGTTGATCTGTAGTGTAGTGAGCTCAAACTGTGGAAGTTTATCATCTCATGTGTCTGCTGAGGATGTAGGCTCTTAGTATGTTATACGGTTTTATAATACAAAGATGATAGGCTGCGTCGTGAATCCACATGAGGGCTTGTTTACTCCAGAATGGATGATGCAGGAATTAAGTTAACCAATCAGGATCCACCCTGTAAGTGACCCATTTGGGGTCACAGGAACGCATTCAGACCATGTTAATTCTCCTTTTATGCACTTTAAAGTAATCAGGCTCGTTACAGATGATGACTGTAGTCTAGGCTCAGTGTGGTGTGAGATATACCCATAGTGCCGGTCTTCTTAGGGGGGGTGAGGACAGGTGTGGAGACGCCTGTTGCCCAGCATGCAGCGTGTGTGAACAACAGAAGGGAGAGGGGAGTGATGATGACACACATGATCCAGGGAATAAATCCCCTTACCCTGATGACAGGCAGGGCCTTTTACAATACTACTGCTAATATCATTAATCATTTGAGCACAGCTTGAAAACAGGAATTCCATTTTTAATACCTATACTGAGGAAAAGAAACCTTTTTTTTTGTTTTATTTTAGAGACAGGACAGTGGATAGAGTCTGTCATTTGGGAGAGAGAGAGAGAGTAGGGATTGACATGTAGGATGGGAGCCACACATTGGATTGGAACCCGGGCCGCCTCCTTGGAGGATCACTTGTGCACCACCCACTAGGCTACCGTCGTTCCCATACACGTTTTGAATTTGATTTTATTTATTGGAAAAAAGCCACAATGCCAATGCTATAGAGGGTTGCCTAGTTACCTATAATGTACATAATAACATCTGAGTTATTACCCTCCTAAACCAGGCAGATCTATGTGGTACTTAGCTGAACCGATCGGTAATAGTGGAGGTTTTTATTTGTTTATTTATTTTTGGGCTTTTCTTGCCTTTATTGTCGAGGCAGGAACGTTGATAGAGTGAGGAAATCAGTGAGAGAGACAGTGAGGAAACGACATGCAGGAACAGCCTCCGCACACAATACACACTAAGCACTATTTGTAATTCAGCTGTAGTTCCTTTTTAATACCTCCTTACTACCAGTGGTATTACCCCCATAATGCACCACAGTTACCATGTGATAAACACCTGTTAATTATGGGACGGTAAAAGGAAGGGTTACCCTAAAATCCAGATGAACGTTAATCACTCCGTGCACAATAGGCCCAATGTACATCATTTATTTTGAGTATGTATATTGCATTTTTGTCACATTTTTTTACAGGATAGTTTAAACATCTGATTTTTTTTCTAAATCCTTGCAAAAGAAACGTTTTTACACCAAAACAAGTCATCAACGCAGGAGAGAAAACAATCAAGATCTGTCATAGGAACTGGATCATGCATCAAAGACTGAATTTGGGAAAGCACTGATATCTAGTTTCAGATGTTTAAATGTGTATGTATTTGTTTTATTTAGAACTGTACAAATTAAGCGTTGCGGTTGAAACACGGCCCTTCCCATGCTAAAAATACACAATGAGTCATGTTTGTGTTTAGTTGACAGAATTGTTACCGATTGTTATTTTCAGGATTTCTGCACACTTTGATGTTCAATCAAGTTCACACGATCCCTGAGATGTTTGGGTTTGTATTTAATCTTTAAACATTAAATGCAGGATTTAATTGTTAGATATTGTATCTTCCACATCACCGCAGTGGGAACCTTCAATGTTACTGTAACTTCTGACTCACCAGCACTCCCAGCGCTGCCCTCTCTGCCTTCTCTCCGACCTCTGGTGCTGCCCTCCCGCCCGGACTTCACCCTCTGCAGGAAGACACACAGTAGTGAGAGGAGAAGGGACATTTCGATGAGAAAGAACAAGGGAGGAAATAAAAATGCACTCCAGACCACAGAGCAGAAACTTTTAGTACTCGATTAATGGATTCTAATGACGTATCCTTGCCTCTTTCTTTTTCTTTCTCACTGTTTCATAGGAGAGGTCAATTTTCTAAACAACTTTGGATAAAAACTAGAATATTTTATTTAAAGCAAAATAAAACTCACTGATGACTGATGAGTTTTATTTTGGTTGTAATGATGGTTTTATGGATGTTTTTATAAATTCTACAGATTCCTATTGTTACCTGATGAACGCTAGTATTTATGTATTTAATGTTGTTTCTATTGTCTGAGTCTATGTGCCTGAGTTTCTGTTTGTTTCTTGTTTTCACATGGCTGCATCAAGGAGTCTCGCTCTCTCTGCAGGATCGTTTCTGTGTTTCCAACAGCGTCTCTGAACTGATTTAAGAGCAGCTGCTTGTGATTTAACAACGTCCTTGTGCTCATCTGTTCCTGGCTATGAGAAATATCTCCCTAAGACCATGGCACACATCCCTGTTACTCTGAATCTTTCTCTTTCTACAAAGTGAACAGAACCGAGACCGCAACAAGTGTTGCTGATCACTGTTTTGGTTTTGGATCACTGTAGGTTATTGCATCGTTTAAGATGAGGATGCAATATATTAAAAGTATGATTTTGGAGCTTTTATTCAGAGTTAAAAGGAAGTTAAAATAGAAGAACAGAAAATAGATATTTTATTACATTGAAGATGCTTTCATAAATAAATGACGGGAAAAATATGTCTAAAATTCTCACAAAATTCTCAACAATATCCTTTTGATAGATTAATTTATTAACGAGCTCTGGAGGCGGTTGAAGCAGCTCTTCCATGATAATAATATGAGTGTTAAGTCTTAACCAACCAACTCTTAACCATTAAGATAACAAATCTATCAGCCAATCAGAAACAAACTAAAACTGGTCCAAAAAAATAACTTTAAAAAAAAAAGAAAACTAATACACTGGTAAAAATCAAGCAATGTGGATAGCTGTTTCGACACCAAAATACAAAGTCCCTCAGAGATGTTAGTCGTCAAAGTTTTTTCAAACATGCTGCGAGAGAAATCCACGGCTTTCATGTACCATATTTACTTCCATGAGAGAGCTGTCAGACAACAAGTGATGACAGCTGTAAAGGCTTTTAGAAACTGTCAGCCGGGGTGAATAACTTCCAGGTTGTAGCAACAAGGTGACGAGGAACAGAAGAACAGATGTTTATTTCCCCCAACATGTTGATATCTTAGGTGTTAAAGAAGCCCAGAGACACTGTACCTGTTCTCTGATCTCCTTCATCTTCTCCACCTTCTTCAGCCTGGTGGCATATTCTTGGACTTCTTTGAGTCCCATATCGGTGCACAGCCTCACCAAGAAACGCAGGCCTGACGATAAACACACATTATGTTTTTATATTCTTTACACTCTGATGTTGCTGTTAGAGATCTGAATAAAAGAGAGTGGAACAAACGGGATGAATTACATTCGACGTTTTCTGGAAACTTGCAATGAATGTCTTTGTACGTTTCCAGAGCTTTCTGGTAGTTTCCTGTAAAGAGAAAAAGATCAAAGTGAGCCAATGGTTATGAAAGTGCACAAATCAGAACAAAATAAGCGATCAATAAGGGTCAGCACTTCATAAAACAAAGATATAACACAAAGCTTTTGCGCCTGACACCCAGCCTCCACCATCGGACTGTGTCGTCCCCACAACCACCGCCGTCTTCATTCATGCACGGCCTGCTCCGACCTCAGCGGCAAGAAAGTGTGGACAACAGGAACACAAGGAATACAAAGGAGAAATCCTTCCTGCATATTATCCCATATGCGCTTTTTAAAGCGTCTTGAGACAACATTTGTTATGAATTGATGCTATACAAATAATTATTGATTGATTTCCATAGACAGAAAATCAATCAAAGCAGCAGTACCCCCACTCCACATCCAACTTAAAATATGTTAAAGACAAAGGAGTCGATTAAAACACTGACAAACTGAAATAAATGGCCCATTACTGCTGGTCGTAGGTCATTAAATTTATCATCATAATACTTTATTGTCCAATCGAGTCTAAAATGTTCCATGTTTTCCCAAACATCTTTTGCAACAGAACAGAAGAGACAAAATTAAGACAAGAAACTGAGACAAATACGTTCAATATCACATAAAAATCATAACAGACGGTAATTAAGGACATTGAACCTCTATGTGATCTGGGATCAAGCTCATCTTTAGTTTACAGCATTATCAATATCTCTGGTTTGATTACAACAATTTAAATTCAGAGTTAATGTTTGTGTTCTGGGACAGTTGTTACTACATTAGTCTGAGCTTTCAAGGGGTTGGCCAACAATTTAATCTGGAAGAGCAAATCTGTTTTAAAGTCGTTTTAAAGGCAAGCAGACAAAATAGAAACAAAAGACAGAAACATGATGTATTTCATGACATGAAAGGTCAAGAACAGATTCATTCTCACCACTTCTCCTGTAGCAGCTTGCCACCATGAGCTGCCATTTCACCTGGGTGGGTCTGAGGAAGAAGACATAAAAAAAAAAAAAATCCAGTCAGAATGAAGACACTACCCTGCACTGAACTTTTAAAAAACATCACAACAACTAATTGACAAAATGTGTTTAGTGATTTAAAAAAACAAAACAAAAAAAAAACAGATGAATGCTGGTTCATATTTCACACTAAACAGCATTTCCAGTCAGTGTATTCATTTTGTGTTTGTGTGTTATGTCTTGGGTATGTATAAAAGAAACTCATGACCCTCACTCTTGAAAAGTGTAATCTTCAGTGTGTATGCCTTAACCACCTACAGGGACAGTGGGGGCGCCCTGTCTCTGGCACTGTCATTTTGGTGGAGTGAGGCTCAGACCCGGGGTTGAATGAACCATCATATGAAAGAATTTGGTTCATAAAAAAATCCTAAATCAGCTTGGAGGCCGACAAAATCAAATCATGTGTCCTCTTTCTACGAATGACTTCCAGATGAGCGTAAGCTTCACGGTGAAAGATGACCGAGACAAAGATCAAAACAAGATGAAATAAGAGACACATCCCTTGATCGTGTCAGGACAGTGTCCAAGAAGTGTGAGGACATCATGGCACAAATATTTTTGAGGATGATACAACAACTCTCGGGACCTGACTCCACCAAAAAAATATTGTTCAAATTTAGACTTTAAGTCACATATGAACTGCCGGTTGATGACAAATTTATGAATTTAACAAATATGTATTGATTTGTTTTTACGTTCATGCTTTTGTCCGCCAACGTTTGTGAGTACTTACTGTATGAGTGTGGCTCTTTCAAAGTACTGAATGGCCTTTTCACAGAACTGCGTCTCGATGTAGTAAGCACCAAGCCACTCTATCACATCAATGTTGGAGGGAAAGTACCTGAAGGACTGAAGAGGATAAAAAAACAAAACAGACAAAATCAGAGCACACACAGGGAATCAGAGCTGAGATGTTAAAATCAATCTATTAAATATTTGATTGAAAACTTTTAAATAATGCCTCTTGTACCTCGTAGTAGTACTGGAAAGCCTGGGATTTGTCCCCCTCCCCACTGTGCAGCTCTCCCAGTTTGGCCAGTGCCTGGGGGTCAGTGGGAGTTACGCTGATGACCTGCATTAACCACTCGATGGCCTGCTGAGTGTCTTCCAGAAGCTCATATATGTAGCCACTGAGTCAAGGTCGAACAGTGGGAACAAAAAGATGCAGGTTTGGATCTCTAAATGAGCACCAACGCAAAATCAAGAGAGCTATAAAAGGGCCACAGACACAAATATAAACAATTGTTAACAGGATACAGGTTGGCCAGCTGGTACATGACCTGGGCGCTATTCCTCAGAATAGCATGGAGCTTCAGGAAGCAGTCCAGAGCCTCCTCCAGACGATTCAGTCTCTTATATGTTAGACCTGGTACAAAAGGACAGGAGCAAAGACCAATGATCAACTTGGTTTGGATCTCTTATCTAGATTTAATGTCAGGTGATGTCTGTGGGAAGGTCATTAGCACAAATTCATCTTTGTATGTTCCTAAAAACATTCCAGTATTGTTCTTGAATTCTCCAGAGTTACCGAGGTTATAGAGGGCCTCCGTGCAGGACGAGTCGTTCCTCAGAGCTTCTTTGAAGAACTCTGCAGCCTTCTCGTGGTCTTGCTTGACGAACACCGTGTTGCCTTTGTTGATAAGTGCTGCGGGGTTGTAGCGATCAGCATTCATGGCGAGGTCGGCATATCGGTCAGCCTGGTCATAGTCCTTCTCCTGTGACAGAAGAAAGGTACGAGGAAAACTAATGTCTGGTTATAGGTTGGTACAGACAATGAGGGTGTTTACCTCTTCTTACAAACTAGTGTATTGAGGTATCCTTGAACGCTTGAATTTCCCGGAAAAACATTCAATCTTATTAATTTTTACAACCATTTAAATTTACAAATCAAAAATGTAGCTTCTAAAAAAAATTCAACCTCTCCTCCTTTTTCAAAATCATGTGTTGCCAAAGACTTTTTGGATTAATCTTTGAGAGGATCTTACCAAAAAGTAGAGGAAAGAGAGGTTTGTGGCTGCAGCACTCTTCACTCTGCTGTCCTTCTTTTCAAACGTCTTCAGTGTCTCCACAGCCTGATGGTGATCATTCAAAAAAAGATGTCAAGGTAACAAGTAAAAAGTCATACTGCATCATGGACTATACAAGCCATTTCCCCCAGTATGTAACAAACCTACAAACATAAAAACCAACCTACATACAATACATTTGGACTTGTCCACTCTAGTGTTGATTTTTTATTTACTGCCGAGCTATCTTGCTATAATGAAAAATGGAAAATGAAATCCACACAATAGAAATTAAAGGAGCAATCTGTAAGATATATCCTGAATGAAATGATAAAGTGACCTTACTATATGATCAGACATTAAGGAAACATGCTATGTTGAAGTGCTGGCTTCTCTGACAACAATGCAGCAGTTAAATGTATGCTAATTTAACCCGACCTAAAAAGCCTCTACATGTTTCTAATAAGCTCCACGAGCAGAAACGTGCTCGAACTAGGATCAATATTGGAGATGCTTTTGAAAAATGGAGAGAGGTTAGAACGCAGAAAGGTTTACAGACCGATGCAGAGCTGGCTAAACACTGAAGCTTCAGTGTCCAGCCAAGGCAACATGTGTGCAGATTGACTTGGGGAGGAGGAGGAGGGGGCGGGATGTGACAGCTCTCTCTCAATGATTTGAATTTGGACTGCAGTAACTGTTTTAATCGCTACATGATAGAGTTACATATTGCTCCTTTGAAGAAAGTGAAAAGATGTTTGCATGATGAAACTATCTTCATTCTGGTACACACAGTAAAGTCTCGGATGTAATAATAAATTTAGATGCTTGAGATGAAATGTGTAGTTGGTAATTATGCAATGTAAGCGCTTACATACTTGAAATATTTGAAATAAGTTTTTTGACAAACCACCAGCTAGACTACAGCTGCTCTAATGCTGCAGGTTACACAACCACCACCACCAGTGTCTAAAAATATACATATATATATATAAAAGCACCACAACCATGCATCAGATTTATATGGAGCTCCAAAGTGTTCAATATTGAAGAATAAATAAATAAATCTCTATCTTTTAACAAACTTATTTCATTATGTCCGTTCTCAAAAGTTTGCATTCAGTTTAGATAACATCTTTGGTCTTAAGAATGAATGTTCAAAATTCAAACCACTTCTTATTTGTGACAGTGGTAAGGTCACTGCTCTCTAGTTATTATCCAATCACTCACCCCATGTTTTATGAGTAAAAGCTAAAAAGCTGCTGTAAGAATATGCCACCTGTTATCTTTTTAATTAATTATCAAGCTTCTATATTATTAAACTTGGCCGGAAGATTGTTGGTAATGACTTAAATGATTTTGGTCATGTTTTTCAAGTAAGAGCCAATTAGAAGGCAAAGGCCATCCTGGAAGACCCTCCTCCCCCTCTGCATGCAGAGTTTAGACTTCTGCTGACAGGGAGGAGGTTCACTTAAACTGGGAGGACCGAATCCAACAGATGTCTGAGGTCATTTGTCCCATCAGCAGGTAGGTTTTGGGATAAATTGTAGGCACTGTTTCCAGTACCCTTATACAGTTGGACTTTGTGTCTCACATTTTTTTTGGGGGGGGGGCTTTTTATGCTTTTCTCAGTGAGACAGGACAGTGTACAGTGTCAGAAATCAGGGAGGGAGAGAGTGGTGAACAACATGCTTTAAAGGACCCACAGGTCGGATTTGAACCCGGGCTATCAGCTTGGAGGACAACAGCCTCCGTACATGGAGGGTTCACACTAACCACTGCCCCACTCATTGTCTATCATGATGTCATGGGAGATATGTACTATATGTATGTATTTATGTCTTTATGACGTGTGCCCCTCAGGGACATTCTCTAATTACAATCCAATCCTGCAGTTAAAAAAACCCACTGTACATTTTGCTAAATGTAGGATTCTCTAAAGAACACCTCATGGGATTTCTTATTTCATATATGTTGTGAAATTTTGCATAAAATGAATTTAAATATTGAACATTTTGGGGTCCCATACATGTAAATCCTGTCAGTGATCAAACGTTGACAACTGCAGTTTTATGTTATTGGAAAAAACTTTGGAGCTGTTTAGTGTCTATTTATGTGTTATTGTTTTGTTAATGCTGCCACAGAGCAGCTCCACATGCCAAGCTGCAGCTCCCTGAGAACGCAGCGGTTTATAGTGAAAGAAGAAACCATGATTATAATTTCCTCCCTGGTTTGTGGCTTTCAAACCCATAACTGCTTCTCTAACTTTGTTTCTGCAGTGCTGTTATTTAAAGAGGCATGCTATGACAGAAAAAAAACAACAACATGATATAAATGTGAACATGGAACCAGAGGGCAAACATACCTCAACCTTAGGCATGCAGATGGGAAGGAAAAAAAAGACAAAAGCAAGAGAGAATGGAGGGGCATGAGAAGGGGGAAAATTTAGATCTGATGCAGATCACAGCTGGAACAACCACAGCAGGAGAAAACTGACATATAACAAACAACACTGTGGGGAAAAAACGGCATGGAAATACCATGTTGTAAGAACAAAAGGTGGAAAAACAGTCTGCAAACAAACAGATCTTCCACATTTAACAAACGTCATGTTTGACAGGAAATACCACTCACTCCATTATTTATAAATGTAACGGCTAAAAAGAGACAAATCATTTTTAATTTTCATAACTTTTAACAGATACGCCAATTATTTTTGTCTCTCTCATCAGTATCTAATCTGTAATTAATATAACATGTTACTAACATGAAATGTGATTCTTCTAGCTTATAAATATCACAATGGGTTTTTTAATTTAAAGGGGACATATTATGAAAAATCCACTTTGACATCGTCTTGAACATATATTTGGGTAACCTGAGTCTACCGACCCACAAACTTTGAAATAAACCCATCCAGTCCGTTTCAAATTTGCTCTCCTTGTGATGTCACAGTGGGATTCTGGTAAACACAAATCCCCTCCCTTCCCCTGGTATCTCCACCCATGGACTCCACCCCCAGCCTAGAGCAATACTGTTGCCCAGGTCCGCCATTTTTATTCTCGCTTCAGAGGAGTGATGTCTACCCTGGTGCTTGATTCATGTTATATTTTGACCAAAGCACAGCACAGATGTTTCATTTAGACCACAGGGGACTGTTTGAATAGGTGGAAAAGGGAGGATAATATGTCCTCTTTAAAATAAAACTTGTTTTATAAGAAGAGACAAGTTAGTCTTCTATAAAAAATCACTTTAGGTAAATACATCACTTATTGTCATGTCCTATTAACAGCGGGATGTCACTTTTGCAGCTGCTGCCATCATGGCTCAGCCGAGAGGAAATATTTGAGTGGTATTTCCCTTTATTCTGCATAAACAGAGGGTCACCTGGTTAAAGTCCTTCTGTCTCAGGTAGGTGATGGCTTTGTTTATCTCCAGATCGTTTGCAAGCTCGACATACTGAGAACTTTTCACCATTTCCACACACCTAAAGAAGACAAACAAAAAACATAAGATCTGAACACAACCCTTGAAAATCATGTTTTCTGAGTCCTTAAAGGACCTGTGATGGAGCTGGAGTCTGCTTGCACACTGTATGCCCTCTGGTGTTGAGATGTGAGAAACAGAAGTTACAAACCAGTCAAATCCAGTGACAAAAGATGTCTCGATGGCCGGAGCGATGAGCTTGGCTGCAGTCATGATGTACTTCTCAGCCAGGACTTTCCTAAGTACAGAAAACAGGACAGAAATCCGGGGAATGAATAGTATACGTTGGTTTTGAAGTGCAGTTTGTTTCTGCTGTGGTAAATAAAAAAATCAACATGCAAGTGTCATCACAACAACAAAAGGATCATGTTCGCTTGAGGCCAGAGTGTGTTTGTGTTTCTTACAGATCTCTTTCCATCTGATGAAGTTTGTCGTTCTTAATGGCTTCAATGACCATGTTTGAGCTGGTGTCGTCCTGGTGGAGAAAACAGGATCAGGTTCACATTCAGGTGTGTCAGGCAAGTTTTAGTATTCTCTTTAACGTCTACACATCCTACAACTGAGAGACGAGTCATTTCGACAGTTTGATGAACTCATATTTGGTTATTCTAAATGTACAAATAAAAAGTAGACTAACGATGGAGAAAACTGTTAAACATGGCTGGATTGAAAAATTAGATGAGCACCTTCTTGTTCTTAGTTCTTGTTTTCATGCTACTGTCAATGTTACTGGTTGTTAATGTAAAAATAAAACCTTATTGAATACTGAAGAACTGATAAAGATAGTTGTTAAATGTTGACATTTTAAACTCTTTAGTGAGGACAGGGAAGGAACATTTATGTTTAGCTTAAACAGACAAGTAGTTGAAAATTAAAGCCGGACCGATAAATCGGCCAGCCAAAAATATTGCCCAATATTACCATACCATGTGACTATCGGTATCAGAACATATATGAGCACTTTGTGACCGCCAGCTTTAATTCAGATTTGTCGATATAACTAAGTTTATTGAATTTAAGTGTAGTATTATTTTTGAAATAGTTTTTACTTATAATTGTTCATTTCTAAGTTCAATGAGTGTTTCAGTGAACTCTTGTTATATTGACCAATAAAGGCTTTTGTTCAACTGTAAAAATTGTGTCTTCATTATTAGTCTTTTTAGGAAGTGTTTCATAACAGCATTTAAGGGATCAGTGCAATAAATGTGTGTGTATATCTATCCATCTATCCCTAAAGATTGAAGATAGATCTCAGAAAGATATCAATATCGGACATTTTTTTCCTCCCTAAAATCAATATTGACCCCAAAGATTCTATCTCGGTCGCGCCCTAGTAAAAATGCTGCAAAACAGAAATAGCAAAGGAACAACACTTTCCAAGAACAACAAAATTAGGCAAAGCATACAGAGCATACAGTGATACCACAGATCACTGGTACCCACATTAGTCGGGATGTACTTGTCTTCATCATCAATGCCCAGAGGAACAGAGATGAGCTTCTGGAAGGCCTTCTTCATCCTCTCTCTATCCCCGATGGCGAAGTAGCACAGGATGAGGTTGAAGCCGGTCTTGATGTTTGGACTCTCGCTCATGATGTGCTCAAAAGACGTTATGGCGTCTGAGTACTGACCCATGCGGACAAAGACCACTCCAATATTCTGCATGATCTTGATCCTCATTTCCTTGTGAGCGTTGGAGATCTGATCCAGCGCCATGCGGTAGAACTTGATGGCTTTAGGGTAGTTCTTCTGTTTGACGTAAATGTTGGCCATGTTGACTTTCAGACGGCCTGAGGGAGAAAAGCGGCACAAAAACAACTGATTCAACAAATAATAGAAGACAAATCATTTATCAAGTACCGGTACATCTCATAAAAAAATAAAAAAAGGGATTGTCTGAGTGTTTCCAAGCAGAGGAAAGTATTTCAATCATCTCAATGTCATCTCATCCCAAAAAAAGAGGAAGTTGTTGCCATGGTTTTTGCAGGCTAATGCTGCTGCTGTGTAAAACCAGGAACACAGTAGTTTGTTATTTTGTTGCAGAATTAAACAAGTGATTTCTCTCCGGCCTGTACTATGTGTGGATTCACAAGAAAAACATCTATTATGAGTCCTGTGTGTTTCAAACTGAGAGGTCTGCTCACCTGCATTACTGAACATCTTGTTTTTCACGATGACCTGGTAGCTGTTCAGGGCTTCTGGGTACATTTCATTGTTTGCATACTGGTTGGCAAGGTTAAGCAAAACCTGAAAAATGACAGAAACATGTTACATTTTTTCGATAGAGTAACAAAAATAAGGCATCGAAGCAAACTAAGCGGATGTAATTTGTCTCCTGTGAGCCGAGTCCACATAGCTGAGAGGTCATGTCCACTAAATGCAGAACCAAACATGTCTCCTGTCTCCTGCCTGATATGTCTCTTTCTGTGTCTCCCACTGATGTGAATACAAATCCATTCATGTTTGAACAAATAGCATCCAAACTTTCCTCTTATATAGTACATTAAACAAAGAATATAACAACTACATGTGACATCACAGCTGAGGGGCAATGGAAAGAAGAACACATCCCAACATATAAAGCAGCTGTTGGTGACGTACTCTGCTTTCCTAAGAGCATTTAAGCAGCCATACACTTTAATAACTCAAACTGTTTTGCATTAAAGCTTCATGGAATTTCATTCACATAGGGTCAGAAAACATTTCTTAGGCAAAAAACATCAACAATTTAAAATTAAACAACTTTTTGGAAGTCGCAGTCGCAAAATTAACAGCTTCTCTTCACAGAAATAATACAGGAACAAATGAAAAAGCTCCTGCTCCGCTTACTGTTACTGCTTTGTCATTTTACTTCATCTATCAGTATCTTTAGTCACTAAAGTTAGAAACATAACAGAAAAGCAACATTAACAGTAATAGTTATAAATAATAATCGTATGTAAACAAAGGGAAGCTCTGTATATGTTTGCACTCTTTCTCCAGTTGAAGAGAGAAGCTGGTTAAGGGTGAGTGAGTCTGCTGAATAAATGAGAAGAAAAGAGGACAACACTTCACCACAGAAGTTACTAATGAAGTCACAGACAAAGAGTGGGGGTTTTAAGAAGTGGTGGTTTATATGGAAGGCCATTTCAGAGTGTAGGAAGTGAATGCTAAAACATTTCCTGTAGAGACACTAAAATAAGAAGTAGATCTATAGCAGCAGCCTTACAGAGTAGGTGAGGTCTAAACTGATGTGCTCAGCATTCCCAGACTGTTCCCTCTGTCTCACGAGGGCCCTCTCCTTCCTCCCAGCCTCTTTGCCTTTTTCAAGAGCCTGTTGAAAAAAAACACATCACATAAGTTTCATTAAGGAGACATGCACATGCTCACACAATGTCAACAAACAAGACTGAGGTAGTGACACCAATATCCAAGTCTGAAATGAACAATGAATGTGCCCACTGCTATACTGTTCACCTAACTAGAACAACAGTTCACTGTTTGAGAACAAATATGAATGCAACTAATTCACACTTTTGGCAAATAAATCAAGAGCTTTATCATAGTGTTATCTTCAGTATAAACTGTGAGGGGCATCTGATACATTTTAAATAGACACTGAGTCCTCTGAGCTGGACCATACAGCTCACACGATCAAAAATAAGCCACTCCAAATCCATAGCAGTCATTATTATCAAACAGTTCGTTAAAGAATCCAACCAGTTGTAAGGCTCCGATGCTGTGTGCCATGCAGCTCTCCTCGATCAGGTCGTTCACTTTCTTCTCCAGGATCTTGATCTTCTCCTCGGGCCTGCAGGACCACACACACAGATATACAGTGAGCAGTAATGCTGCCTGAAGGCAAAAGCTTTTCTCTACCAACTTCACAAAACTCTCCACTGTGAGACAGTTCAATGTTTATTAAAGTACTGGAAAAGGGATCGAATCCCTAATCACCTCTCTAATTTAAATCTAAAGTGGAGAAATTAAAGTTTGTGCTTTGTCTGGTAAGACAACTTTTAAATAGATATTGTCCTTACACACTGCTTGAGTAGAACTAACATCTTCATCTATCAACTCACGTGTCCTCATTCTTTGCTTCAAGTGGAGGAGCAGGGCCCTTGGACTGGCCCAGAGGATCAAAGGCAGGGCCTGAAAACACAGATCATGCTCATAACAATAACTATCTACTTTACAGATTAGAACTTTACAAATAGAGATAAATATTACTACAAGTACTTAATTTTAACTCAAAAATGAACTTTCTAGCCAGAACTGTAACTTTTCACTGTGAGGTTTTTATGATACTGTACAACAATGCTTTCTTGCCAAACCGGTTGCAAAGCATGTTTTATATTAGAAGTTTAAACATAAAAATGACATTTTTGGGTCTTGTTATACCGTTACAAAAAGGCATACTTGTCACAATGACAGTGTAACACCGTCTGGTTTAGATAATCACAATCTGATTTATTATCTTATGTAGATGTTTGTTTTAGAATTCCTTCTGCTTTAGACAGATAGAACAAATCAAACTGACAAATGATATTCATGCTTCTTGTTGTTGTGTCATGACATTATATCTCACGTCTATGTATATTTAATGAGTCGCTAAACATCGCTATGTGAGACTTCCTTAAACTCACCGCGGACCATGGAGGACGTGTAACCTGCTGCTCTGACAGCAGTCATTGGTCGAGCTGCTCCATCCTATCATATTTTTAAAAAGTAGGGAAACAACATGATATACATATTCCTTACTTTTTTTTTTTTCAATTTTCTTCACAAAACTTTCTATTACATTAAAGAACTGTATAAAGCTTAGATCGAACACATGATATTGGTCAGATGTGTACACACTGAAATTTGTAAAGCTGCCAGTGAAACCCAAAATACAACAAATACAATCACTACACATGATGGACTGAGTAAGTGTGATTAAATGTTGTCAACTCATGTCTAATGAAATCCTGCCAGACTCCAATTGCACACTTTATTGGTCAGTGTCGCTCACCTGCACAGCTCCAGTCATGGGTCTTCCCATCGAAGAGACCAGAGGGACTCGAGACTTCATGAAACAATAAAATAGGTGAGAATAATCAACACCAGAACCTAACAGATATTTTGTCTGTCCAACAGAGTCTGTCCATACTTACCCCAAAGGAGGTTCCTAAGGCCCGAGATCCAATGGCAGTGCCAGGAAATTTAGCAGTCATCTGGATAGATAAAGACATGCCATTCAGAATGTATTACAATAACAAAAAATGTGCAATAAGACTTCCAGTTGATCCTTTCACTCAGACACAGTTCTATAGGAAGTGCTCACCGGTGGTCTTCTTCCATGACTTGTCCTTACAGCTTGCTGGAAGTCCACATCATTCTCCAACTCCTTCAAATTGGTCAATGATTAGTCTTTCTTCCACACATTTTCATTGTTCAGTGTTAAAGCCCGCTCAAGCCAAGTTATTTAAAACAATTTGTGTTCAGAATCAGAAATACTAATACTATTAGCAGACCTACTTAAATTTCATGAAGATGAAAATACAGACAGCTTAATAACAACACAAAATGAATAGTAAAGGCAGTACTTGGGGGTGCACATGAACAATAAACTGGACTGGAAGCACCACACAGAGACTGTCTACAAGAAGGGTCAGAGCAGACTCTACTTCTTGAGGAAGCTTAGGTCTTTCAATGTGTGTAGCAAAATGTTATCCATGTTTTATCAGACATTTTCTTTGCAGCCGTGTGTTGGGGGCAGCAGCATCAGGGGCTTGTGACTCTAAAAAGCTTCACAAGCTGATTAGGAGGGCTGGCTCTGTGCTGGGGGACTGCTGTGGAGCCCCCGGAGGTGATGATGGGGAGAGGAGGATGATACAGAAACTGTTGAACATTATGGACAATAACATGCATCCCTTACACTATCTAAAGTGTGAACAAGAGTGTTTTTAGTGGGAGGCTACGGCATCTAAGCTGCAAAAAGGGCAGATTTAAAAATGCTTTTTTTACCTACTGCAATTGCACTTTATAACGACTCCCCTTCAAGACATTTGAACTTTTAAACTTTAGCCTGAGTTGCATATATAATATATCAAACTGTATTGTGGGCTCATGTGTTTTTTGTATGGGAGGGATATGTATGTATATATGTGTTGTGTTGTGTGTTTGTATGTATGCTGGCTGCAGGAACACCTACATTTCCCTGCTGGGATGAATAAAGTTTATCTTATCTTATCTTATTTTAATGCCAGTATTAATGCCAGATTAGTTATGGGGTAATGTGGTGAAGTTATTGTCTTGTTGTCCGTCTTCATCCCCCCCCCCCCCACATTTCGTATGTATCTTAAATAATAATTTTATATGAGTACTATATGAGTTAGCTGCTGATTTCAGACCTAGATTACAACGTTAATATGAAGTGGCTAACTCACCTCGGAGTCAAAGGTTGGATTATAATCGTTATAGCCCGAGTAAAGATCATCCTCCTCCATTGCCAGATGCACATTTTCCATTTCCTTTTCCCCCCACCCCCCCGGAGAGCTGGCGTAACCAAAAAACACTTCACAAATGTGGAGGAGAAAAGAAGTAATCGTGAGAGTTGTAAGGAGCAGATAGTTTGTTGTCGTTCCAGGTTTTCAATCCCACAATTCAACGCGGCGAGGGCGGGACACTTTCAATCTGCAAACCTCTGATTGGTTACATGCCGGTAACTCACGAAATAAGCATTAACGTAATTGGCTGAGGCCCGTTTCATGCGTTGCTAGGATACATGTGTACGCTACCCGTTCGATCCTTTTCTTTTGTAGCAACAGTACAATTTCTTACACATATTATTATTATTTTTTTTACTAAAATAGATAGTTAAAGGTGAATATGTTTCTTTACTATATTCAAAACGTGTAAAATGTAATTTATTTTTTTTAATTATTATTTTGGGTTTTTTGGACCTTCCAGGCTACCTTACCATGTGACTCCAAAGGGGTGGGGCAAGAGGTCCCATGAAAATATTAGTTTGCCTGAACCGGTCTGAAGCGTCTGAAGTCTGAACCATAGACTGTAAAAACAGGACAGAAACAAAATGAGCTCCTCTAACATGAAGATTATTACTGTAGTCGGCAGGTGAGCAAAGAAAAATCATGTTAAAGATTATAATCCTAGTTGCAGATTGTACGTTAATGCATGGAGCTGACTTGAAACGTACTCAGTTAAACTAATCAATACTGAATATGGAGTTTTTAAAATGACGTTAGTTATTTGCATAGGATTTAAGTTGAGGGGTTAAGCTGCACAATTTCATGTTTTAACTACATATACCTGCGTGCATATAAGGAATGCATGCTTACAGAACAGTTGTTGTGCTTTATAAAGATAACTCTGACCACTGTTTTAATTCTTGTACTCTGTATCAAAGGCTCAGCCATTATAATGTGTTTTGTGGAGGCTTAATCTTTAACCTGTTTTCGTATCCTGCTCATGGTCATTTCTACAAACGTCCACTACTTTGCAGTTCCCTCTAGTGACCTCTCACCTGGAAAGTAAATACTAAACTTACACAGTAGTACTCCAGAATATGCAGGTTAAAATGTAAAGACTTTTAAAACCTACATAACAGAGCCAATACTTGTTTGTTTAATGTGCTGTGGAGGAAGGGATGTTGTAGACACACCACAAAAGGCACAAAAGGCACAAAAAGAGGCACCAAAAACACTTCCACTTCTGATGCTCGGATGGTTAAAGTGATAAATTGTGTATCAAGTTTTCCTCCCTTTGCAGAAATTAATGAATGTCTGTCGTGTTTGTTTGCTTGTGTGTGTGTGTGTGTGTGTTTCTTTCAGCGGGCTGATTGGCCGCTCCTGGTCCATGGTGTTTATCAGTGGAGGTTACAGCGTGAAGATCTATGACAATCAACCGGGGCAATCTGCTAATGCTATTAAAGAGATCAGGTCAGCACTCCTACACAATGCTGCCACTGTTTTCCAACATAAACCAACATTTGATGCAGTATAAAGGAAAATTTAAAAAAATCACCCACATTATATTGTTATCGATGCCCTCTTTGTGTTTCCCCCTCAGGTGGGATAAGTTTGGTCTAGGAACCGTTGATAAGACTAATACAGCTATGCACATGATACTGGGTTGTACAAATAGACTGAAACTTTTTTTTTGTCTGAAAGTCCTCTGAGTAGACTTTGAGATGCCTGAATTAAAGTTGGGTTAACTTATCTTTGTCTGTTGTTTTTGATGCTTAGAAGAAGGGTACTGTCATTACTGTCTTCAGTTTGATTCAGTTTGTACTGTTTCTTTATTATACAAATAATTATAATAAGGCTAATGAGAAATGTTCATGATGCTATGATCACAGTAGTTTGTTAATGTGTAATATGACTTTAGTTACCCCAAAATTTGTGCTGACAAGGGTTTTCAGTAGAGAAAATCATGACACTTCAGTTCAGGGGCGTGTCCAGACTGTGGCGGCCCAACTGGGGCACAGACTTATGCAGGGGTGGCATAATGTAAAAACACACACACACACACACACACAAAAGAATAGCTATTTCTTACCCTTTCTAACGTCAACAATCATATCTACTTTATAACACAAGATAATGCATTCTAGAATTTTTGTGGTGGCACCTTGGGTGACCAATCAGATTTCAAAGGTGGCCCATGCCACCCCTGGACACCCCTCTGAACGCGCCTCTGCCTCAGAATAAAGTTAATTCCAATACACAATGTGACATATTCTACTTGCAACAGAAGAGCAAACGTTTGAATGCCTTTTGCCAAGGAAATGTTGGACCATGTTTTATCTTTAGTCCTAAACCTTGTGGATTAATATAAGTAACCATGTAATAATATTTTTTTTTTAAATGGAGCACAAACTAAGCATCAATGTTCCAAAGTCTTGGTATATTATATAAAAGCTATATAAATAAGGGTTTGGGGATGCTTTTAGGGTCTCTTAAGTACATAACATTCCTTATTTTATGTTGTGTCATATAAAAAAGCATGCCCTTATTACTGGGTGCTGCCACTGGATGCTCTCACATCACTAACCTTGAGGGAATGAACATCATTAAGTCTGTCTATCGAACACATGTCTTTGGTCGCTAAACATGAAGGGACCATTAACCAGATGTGTCATGTAGACTTCCTCTCATGCACTTTGCAGGGCCCTGTCCAAAATGTAACCTCCTCTTCCCTTTTAGGGCCTCATGGAGAAAACACATGGTCAATGTATGATCAGTGACTTCCTCCCACTGTAAGAACACTTGGACAAACATGTTCGGGTTGAATGACTCTTTTAATAGCAAAGTCAGCACAAGTTAATCATCACTGTCGAGTGACAAAGTGATTTTTGTGGAAACCACTTTCTGACAAAAAATATCTTGAAGATCTCCAGCCTTGGATAAAAACAAGATCACATTGCTGAACCCAGATATCACCACAGACAAACATGACTTAAAAATGTACCCGAGGGATTCTGGCCTGACTCTAGTGCTTTTATTGAACCATTCTGATATATCTAAGTAATATTTACCTCACCAGAAAGAGCAATGTGGCATGCACACAAGACAGTTGTTGAATGTAAAGTCTTGGGGGGGAGTTTTTGGATGAGTGTTAACAACTTCTTTGACTTTGTGTCGTTGACAGGAAGCAGCTGGAGGAGCTGGAGGGAGCCCACATGCTGAGAGGAGAGCTGACGGCCACGCAGCAGCTCGCTCTGCTCAGCAGCTACGATGACATGGCTCAGGCGCTGGAGGGAGCCTTCTTTGTGCAGGTGACACACTGGACTACACCCAGAGCCAGAGCAGTGGTGTAGTGGTGCCTGAGGAAGTGGGGATGATTTCATCTTGGTTGTTATCCGAAATTATTTTACTTTTTTAAAGATTTATTTTGAGGCTTTTTATGCCTTTATTCTAGAGATAGGACAGTTGCAAGAGTCAGAAATCGAGGAGAGAGAGACCGGGGAATGACATGAGGGTAAGAAGCCACAGGTGGTTACTCGAAGATGGGGCTGCTTGCTTAGAGGACTTTAGCCTCCGTACATTGGATTTGCAAACTAACTACTAGGCTACCGGCGCCCCCAAATGTTTTTTTTAAGTGGCCTATCGAGCAGAGGATTGACAGCCTCTGTTATAAACACTGACTACTCTTGTGTAGTTAATCAGTGTGTACCAGCCAATTCGAGACAGAGTAAGGAGGGTCATCCTTTCACCATCCTAAAAAAAAATGTGCAGCATATTACTGAATTTTGTCCATCAAAGTGGTGTTAATCAGAGCAGATTTAGAAGTTGTACCCTATGGAGGCTGAAAAATAAGTGGGTATATTCCTACACCTGTGTATACCCTGCACCACACCACTGACCAAGACACAAGCAAACACCATTCTGTCTATATGTCTCCCATTGTCGTCTCTTCATTTGTTTTTATTATCATTTAAAGTTGCATTAATCACATATTTAACTGGACTAATGTATCCCCAGATGTGTTCAGATTTTGTTAACAACACTTCAGAACTGGGTGCTTCCTAACGCTGCAGTGTCTGTACTTTTAAACATGTTTCTTGTAATTGTTTTATTGTTGGTTGATCTTTTGATTCATCCATGCAGTACATTCATTAACTCTTGATCACATTTTGGAGTGAATGGCATAAAATGTTCAATAGCATCTTCCAAATTTCACTGATACTCCTTAAGAGGGCGCCACATCACAAGGTTCATCTAGCGAGGCAGTACTGAGAAAAATACCGTTTAGAAAGACGTCCCCCAAAGTGGTCAGTGTGTGAGTAGGTAACCAGGGAGACAGATCTGGGAATGACATGCTGGAAAGGAGCCTTGGGTTGTATTTGTTTATTTGTTAGGATCCTCATTAGCTGTACCCAGAGCTCAGCTATTCTCCCCGGGTTTCACGTTGAAGAACTTTAACAGGAATATAAAATATACATTGAAAACATAACACAGCCCTACAGTCCACACAAACCATTAGATTTAGAAGAGGGCATTAGAAATATAGTTTACAATAGAGGTGGGAAATTCATAAACAGACTTTGAATCCATGGATCCATGAATCCACAATCGTTTTGAATCAAAAATCGATTCTGAATCGAATCGTGAGACACCCAAAGCATCCAGCCCTAGTTTACAATACATTTTAGAATATGCATTAAACTTTACAATCACTTCTGTCAAACACAAGATGTGTATTTAGATAAGGTTTAAGATAAACAAAAACTACCAACAACCTCTGTGCATATCTTACAAATATGATGTCCCAAGGTGTTTCTTCATTTGCTTTTTAAAAATAGATATTTTTTGTGGATTTGAACCCGGGCCCAGATCCTGGATATAAAATCTTCCCAGAGATATCATCACGTTCATGACCTCCTTTGTGGGCTGTCTGTTATCAATCAATCAATCAATCAATCAATCTTTATTTACTTTACAAAAGAGCAGGTCAAAAGACCAGATATGTTAACAAAAAGCAGGTAAAAGACCTTACATATTGCTGTATTACAAAGACCCAGCTTAATCCATCATGAGCACCGTGAATCCAGGCTGATGACAAAACAGCCATCTACCGAAACTGCGGCGTTATTTATAGTAACCGCCAAAAGAAGGGCTTCAGTCTGTCAATGGTTCAGCAGGGTTACTGCT